TTACGCGGTACAAGATAGTGCAAAAGCATCATATTTTGCACTTAGATGTGGTGTCTGAATAATAATTTTCGAGCGAGCGAAACGATCAAATATTTTAAGATTTGTAAGGTCGCAGTGTAAAAAATTTGATTTTATATATGGTTCAATTATAACAATTCTAAGTGTGGGCAAGCTCTAGGGAAAATTGAAGAAAAATGGGCTCTAAGTCGACTTGAATTGGGGGTACATGTTACATGGTACATGCAGTAAATTCAAGCATCAACATGATTTGGGCATTGACAATAAGAAAGGATTGTTATTATCAATGAACAAAAATGTTGTGAATGGTTTTCATATTTATGCATATAAGACACTATCTTCATGACTACAAATATTGCTTTTTTGGTCAAATATATTCTTTCTCAAGCGTATGTGAGTAGGTAAAATCTAATGTTTGCATACATACTATACGGTCACTGTAGAAGTTGTAAAATTGGTGACAAACTAGAGCATAAAGTCATTATGTTTGAATTGCTTTATTCAAATCAATAAGATGTTTTGTCGAAAACTAGTCACAGTACATTATGTTTCAAAGTACCAACTTATGATTGTATTGCATCAATAGACGGTGGGGAATTTTTCCCCTTGAGCACCTATTCGGATCGCGTAAAAGGTTCATTACCTATTATTACTGATTTGTTTTGACTAACAACAAAACTGAATGTCATAATAATCCGATGCTATTTTGAAGTTGTGGGATTCTAACAAGGATAATGTTCGACAACCTCTGAATCTCTGAAAAATCATTTTCATCATTCACAGTTCATGCTCTCCTCCCTCTTTGCCATTATCTCCCCCCCCCTCTCTCTCTCTCTCTCTCTCTCTCTCTCTCTCTTTGTTTTTCTCTCTATGTCTCTTTCTCTCCCTTTCTCTCTCTCTCTCATGTTCCTCTATCTTTCTCTATCTATATTTCGTTTTCTTTCCACCTACTATACTCAATTTCTTTTGCTTCCTCTGCTAATGGCTTGTCTGAAAAAGACAATTTCAACCAATCGATCTAAAAAGAATTTGTTTATCTTCTATCTGAGAAGAACTTGTTAATGTTATACAGGGGTTTATATTGGTCTCTGCTCATGTTTATTCCGCATGAATCTATCTATCTCTATGGACATTTTTAATTCAACTCATAGCTGTAATGAAGAAAAACAATGGAGACATAAAACTTGGGTGCATGTCGCAGCAAGTGCTTTTTCTAGAATATTCTTGTAATTTAATGACGTGCCTTGAATCTAATTATTGAGTGAAATACACGTAAATAACATGTTTAAAGCTTTGAGCCACTAGATTGATCAATAATATTGAAGAATTGAATCCTCCCCCAAAAAAAATTGAATCCTTGAGAGAAAAAAAAATATTTAGGGATTACCCTCGGCCGAGCTGTCTACATATCGGTTATCATTCGCTTATTTCTTTCTTGCATATCACCTTTTATAAGGATCATCAATATCGTCACCTCGCTGATAAGAGGACATTAAACCTGTGACAGTATAAAGTGATAGTGTCCTTTTGGTAGAAAGCCGACTATTGTGTGTGGGGAAACTCAACTGATAGCAGAAGAAGGGTATCAGGCTCCATATGAGTTTCAGCATTGGAATTGCAAATATACACAGAAAAGTTGTCCCACCTTTCGCACACATTTAACCATTACACATCATTTTGTGTTTTCCATTTGTATGATGTTACGAACGATATTCCGAAAAACATTGTACATATGACACCACCAATAACAATCACCATGGCTTACAATTCGTTCTGGAAAAATTGTTTTCAAATAAAGTAGTGTGTACATGGTTTTAGGTGATCGAGTTTATTGTCAACTTATTCCACCCACGCAACTTTTAGTGATTGTAGCTGTATAATATTCATCATGATTTCTTCTATCGACACTGAGAAAGAAAAAATTATATTATGATACAGGCGTGATTCTTTTCAATACTGTACATCAGTAAACAAAAAAAGCCATAATGGAGAGAGAGAGAGAATGGGACTGTCTTTTATTGTTCTTTTAAAAGGCGCAGGCCACAACATATTACACAATCACCATGATCACCTTTCATAAAAGTATGTTTCAAGTGTGCTAGTAAAATGATCTTATCGCAATGTTATGAAAAATAAGTTGGTATTTCCAGATTCGCTTCGGTCAGAGCACTTTTCCGGATTGATATGATTCTCATCTCTTATCTCTTCATTTCAGGTCGACTTGAATTGTGCGTTTCTCATTGTTTTATCACTCAGAGGTTTCAGTATATTACGCTGTAAAAAGATATACATGTGTGTTACCAAAACCTTTTAATCTTTCTTTTCATCAACCTTGTCCTCCCATAATCACACTTACGATCTCATTAATTTCGAACTTTACAATAAGAACATTTTCTTCTTTATATCTATTGTACATATTCGTAATATCTATAATTTTATACCTGTCTGCTCATATTGCATCTAGAGTGTCATATTAAAAAAAATATTTTAAGGGCAACTCTATTTTGCAGGAGCCTCTTTATTTCACAACCATATATCTGTGACTGCAATGATTTGAGACTAGCCTCATTACTCGAGGATGAGAATGCCTTTCTTGCCATCGATCAGTTTATTTCATCATTTTACGCAGAAAATCCTCTCGAATTTAATTGATATTCTATCTATGGTTTATTTGGCATAACTTGCAATTTGTTTATCAGTTGTGTTAAAGTGTGTCCCTTCAACTAGCCCCTTTTCCCTTCAGTGTTTTTTTCTCTTGCAATATCAATGATTTGAGATATCATTATGGCATCCAAGTTCAAAAATTATAATTCTATTTTGATGATTCGGTTTATGAGATACTATAAATGGTATCTTCGTGACATCCACTGTACTTGTCCATATTCTATTTTCCCACATATTCGCTCACAAGCTGTCGCGATCTACCAAACAACAGGAGACGCGCAGGAATGTATGTCCTTTCAGAAACCTTCAACCATGTATAAACTCATTTTTATGATATTATTTTGGTGCCATTGTGACGTCAGTATTCGTCACCAGCTAAAGTTGTTTAGTGGACCTCGGCAATATAACAATACAACTTCGCTAACAATGACTGCCATGTACGCCCCTTCTATCACAAGCAGAAAGATGATGTAAATAATCTGTTCAGTTTAAAGTACTAAAATAGTATTGTACACGCATTCCATCTATCAAACATTGAACATGTAGATATGGATTACAGAAAATAAATTCATCCAGTTGGGTTTGTATAATGACAATTTGTCCATGATGCTAATGACAAAGAAAAGCTTCGTAGTGTTAGGATGAAACAAAATCAGATTTTTAAAAATGTTTTTTTTTTTAGACATAATTATGTTAGACTGGAAACAACGATATTGAGTAAATTTTAGATATGTAAAATACTATGAATATTAACATGAATTACTTTTGCAACCATGTAACATAATATCAAAATTGGTGTAGAAAATTTTTTGTTATCATGATAATACTGCGTTACTACGAAGTCTACGATCATCACAGTGGAATAGAAAGATTCTAAGATCGAGAAAGGAAAAAAAAAGTTATAAGATAGAGGGAAAAGGGATAGGGTGTGTTTGTTTGTTTTTGTTTTTAAAATATAAAGTGTTCAAGAGATAAATGGGAAAAGTGAGGGTGTGTGTGTTCGTTTGTGACAAGGAAAACTCAATAGTTTTATAGAAGAAATCAAATGACGGATGAGAGAGGAAGAGAAAGGGTGCGACTACGAGAAATACATAGAGGTGGAGGGGAGACTCAGAGAAAGAGGGGTAAAAACGGAACGGTGGAAACAAAATTTGAAGGAGGTTATGACGGAGATTTATGGGCGGTTGCTCGCTATACGACATTCTACGTATGTGACGTCATTGGAATGTTACGCAACAAGTGATCGATAAATGGTAAGCTGATCAAGAGGTGGGGGGCATTGTATCATGGACCTACTAGGTCCATGATTGTATCGTCTTCAAAGTCCAGCGTTCGATGAGTCACATCGCCTACTCACTACAGTGTACTACAATATCAAAATAGCACTAGGCACAATGAAAAGCTGTATTGTCATGGCGATGACAGGGGCAATAACAATAAAAATATCTCGATCTCTATAACCTTTGTTCAGAATATATATTTTGACTGAAAGAAAAGTTCATGTAAATGGTTGCAAATCTTTTCGGTCAAATAAATTTGAATGAAAAGACCGAAATGAATAACAGCTAGGCCATAGAGCTGAACGAAACATCAGTTAACCGCGTTTGGAATAAATTAAACTAAATATAAATTATATAAGTACATGAATACAGTTAGGTGCATGTACGTCGTACCTTTTTTTCCCAGTCTACTCCAAAATTGAAAACAATAACATTTAAGGTTGGTTTTTGTTGTTTTCAATTTCACACTGATTACCAGGCACCATGTCAAATCAAATATTTATCATGATAACCGTAACAAAGAAAAACCACAGCCTTCCACTACATCACAATATACAAACAGAGTTATTTGTAATATATATTTGGTTATAGCAATATTACTACGCTAGTAGACCATGTATGGGCTCGGCATTGGTATCGTGACCTTGATTGTACTTCAAAAGCAACTTTATGCCAGTCATACAATGAGTGTTGTACTACCTCAGTAGGGGCCAGTTTCTCAAAACCGTCATTAACCATTTGCCTACTGGAACCGGATGGCTCCTGTATTAAGCCTATGAGAACGCGAGAATCCAGTTGTCAACTTGAGTTCGCAGACATCCCATAGAAACGCGTGTTAATTCTATAACACACGTTTCAATTTGATATCGAAGAAGTTGGATTTATGACTGTTTCGAGAAACGGCTACCAGTGCCTTTACAGGGTAGACTATCCATGTGTGGAAACGCAAACTAGTGGGCTAATGGCCATTGTTAGGTGTGCACTGATCCAAGTCGATTTCTCTTTTCTTCATGTTTGCGTACCAGTATTCTCTCACCGTTCAGTCCGCTCGTAGAAACACACCCAGCAACTTTTGCCGTATTACTTCATTGCAAGGGAGAGCTTGAGTCGATTAGGTACTTTTACACATACTCTCTCTCTCTCTCTCTCTCTCTCGTGAGATCATAACCTCCAAATGTTACCACACCTGTCTAATTTGCCCTAACATGATGTGGATTTACGCACTAATCAAGAGCGTTATACTTGCTGGATTTGTACTACAGGTAAGAATATTATGTATGCTACTCTCATTTATTTATATCAGTTTGACAAGTTTGAAAGTGGTAATTCGTACAATGTAATAAGAATATATACACATAATACAGTGTTTTCATTCATAAAGATCTACATGTATGAATCCGACAAGTATCTTCAGTTACGCAAAACTTGCCTAATTCAGATAATTGAATTTGCTTCGATTCCAAATTTAACTTTCGACAATGATATCGTCCCCAAAATGTGTTGTGAAATGTTTGTATTATATTTATAGGCCTATATTTATATAGAATTGTCATCTCGTTGTGTTCGTTCGGCGTTTTTGCTTCTCTATTCACTAGTAGTGACTTACAAAATATACATACGATAATATTAACTACAATACTATTCCATCCTCCCCATTCCCCCCTCTCTCTCTCTCTCTCTCTCTCTGTTTTGGTGATTTATTCATCCTGATGTCCGACAAGTTGTGACCTCATCGTGAACTTTTGATTACCATCCTTTACTTGAAATTGCATACGTTCAGAATATGTAATTTGGAATTGTCTTCAACAATTGCCTACACGAAAACGTTAATCAAACTGGTTATTTTTTCTAAGAAGTATGATATAGGAAATATGAGTATTATGATTATGACTATTATTCATGTGATGACAATGCCGTAAATCTAAACTGTTGCGTTCCCAGTTCCTGCATCTACATGTAGTCTTAGCAAAACTATAGGCCTATGTCCTTCGCTATTTAAATCCTGCGATTTCTCACTTCTTGTCGTGACCATGTTGAAAGAGCTAAGCTAAGCTTACAGTTCAAGGTGAAACTATTATGGTAGTTCTTGGCCTGAACAAAATGACATTCCTAACCTGCCCCCGAATATGGTTACAGTTGATTGAATAGTTTCTAATCTTGCATTTCTATCATGTATTATGGCTTGCGTTGAAAGACGGTTTAGAGGTAGTATGTCTAAGCACTATGGTAAAGGTACCCTACTATTCCTACCGCTTACATGTAGGTCTGCGGCTTTCATACAAAAACAGCTCTCGTTCAATACAAGATTACAAGGTTTGAGTTACATCACAGTAAAAAAGAAGGAAGAAAAACAAGACAGAAGGAGATTTAACGGGATTAAAAAAGGGAAAAGAGGAGGAAAATGATGATGATAATAATAATAACAATGATAATTATTAGTATTATTAGTTTTATAGTCAACACCAAAATAATAATAATGATATAATTAGAAGTAATAAAGAATTAAAGAAATAATAAACATGATAACAATAAACATGTAATTACAATATTAATATTAATAATAATAACACTTATTATAACAATAAGACGTGTAAAAAAGATGATAATGATATTAATAATAATATCACCTAAAACAACAACAATATATTCATTGATCAGCTGGGCACGCTTCTCTCTCCCTATCTCTTTCTATATTGCTTTATATCCGTGAGTCCACGGAGGGCATTCAGACATTTTAACGGGTATTTCCAACGCATTGTGTCGCAATTCAACATAATACCAAAGAGCACATTCTGTTGCAAGCCCATAAACATAAAGTGATCAAATACCATTCATACATTTTGTTCATTCGCATGTTATACTCCCGGTGGGGCTAGCCGCTAGCACATTTTAAAGATGTGGGTCGAGGGGAGGGGGTCCCTTCTGACAAATTACTGACCATGACTTTTTTCTATGTTCGATTTTTTAAAAGATAATTTTCATAGAAAACACAAATTCTCATTTCTTTTTACCAGTAGGCGTATACTGTTATCGTTATTGGGAAATGTGAATATGTTCTAACTTCTAGGAATGAAAATGATTTATTATTTGATTTTTTTTTTCACAGATCAAAATGATAGAAGTATGAACGAACAAGAAATTATGACGAATTTACCGATATTCTCCACTTTTTTGTCAAAAAATAGAGTTAATCAAATTCATAACGTGACCTAATAGAGAGTGAATTTCTCGTGTAATTGTTCAAGCCTGTCAACCCGACTCAACCCTTGTGTTTGAATCATGGATTTTTTTCTTTACAGATGAAGACATATTTATCTTGTACTATTTGATGTAGTACTAGTTTATTTGCACACCTTAAATTTGGTTGCCATGTTTTGTCTTTTTTAGTCTTGGCGAATGGTATGATTCTCCAATTACATTTTGCTGCATACTTAGGTTATGGCCGAATGTTTTTTTTTAAAATGTGTAGAGAAAAGACAAGCTGCCACACCTTAAATTTGTGATTATATTTCCAATTTTCCATAATTCCATTGCAATGATAATGGTGGTGAAGTGATGCTGATGGTGGAGAGGAGAAGGAGGAGGAGGAGGAGGAGTTTTTTCTATAAGGCATATCGCCGGTATCTGCCTCTGCTGGGCGCTCATGGCATTAATCTTTGCTTAATAAAAGTTTTTCCAGATTTGTATTTATCAACAAAGCTCTAAGCCAATCTTAAGTTGTTTTTTAGTTCGCTTTTAAAAGCTGTGAATGTGCTTTAAGCATGCTTTGCAGATATGAATATTTACCATTAGACCTAGATGATTATTTTGTCTTAATTATAACTTCCATTACCACTGCCTTGATATTCATGCTCACCGTTTCAAGTATACACCGCAAAGTAAACAATAATTCGCAAATTTTGTTGATCTTTAATATTATGTTTACATTATGTTTACATAATATATGTCACACATCAACAAAGCAAGAAAGAAAATTATCCGGCCCGGTACACTTAGTTTAAAAGTAGCCTTTGACAGTAGGTACATGTAAGTTGTCTATATAGGTAGGTCACCTGGAAGTTGCTAGTGAGGTCAAAACCATCGAATGCCGTGCTAGTTGAGCCAACGTTACTTTCTTCTTATTATGGTATTCGTCGTTGCGGCAGTCGTGAGGTACATGTAGTCCCTTATTGACCAAACTGGACTTTGTTCAGTATCAGCACTGTTCGTCTCTTTTATATGATTTTTAAAATCTTAACAAATATTTGAGTTAGGCCTATTTGGATTCGGTTGATGTGTGTAGTTGGCTGCAACTTCAGGCTAGCCAATGTGTCTGTCAATCTTTCTCAATTTCTTGATGGAAACCTGCTTCAGTTATTATGCAAACATTTGTAAACAGAAAAAAAAGATCAAGGAACTTACTGTGTTACCAGGGAGTTGGAATGAATGTTACCTACTACCATCATTCTTCTCACATCATACCAGTTCTCAGCAAACAAAATTACCCGGTTTGCTCGTCACCATATACCAAGTTGTCATACTGTACTATGAGCTGTACTATTTGGGTGTAATTTTGACTAAAAAGTTATTTATATGTTGATATGAGGTTCGATTTTTACAAAACACTGCATTTGCTTTCCAAGAATTTCCTCACATTGTTGTGTTCTATTCAATAATTTAGATTGTATTCTAAGATGACGAAGGGAATAATAATCTCAATTATAATTTATTCCATTGTTCATCAAACCTGTGCCCCAATATATCCGGTTTTTTTACACCACAGAGTTTACAACATGTATTTCTTTTCATATCCGTAACGTTTTATTTATGACAATAGGACCTACCTGTCAGTGTTCGTCCTGGATTATTGTGAACTTGTTTGGGCATTATGTGCAAATGAGTAACAAGAGAAAGATACGTATAAACAGTGGAGATAACTAATGGATTCTAAACCCCTTTTAAAAGTCTGTATAGCCTTCATAATTATATGGTATTATTGCATGCCTTGTGTGACTTTGTTGGGAGTATGTAATACTTAACAATTCCAAATCGTCCTTAAATAAACAAGGAAGTATACGTGTATAATATATTCGTGTCAATTCATGTTCTCATGAAATGTTATCATGATCCAAACTTCGTTTATAGGCGGACTATGTACGAAGGGGTGTGGGGTTGGATTATTGCTCTTTTAAGTTACTACTCCCATTGAAAAATATTGGATCTGCCTCTGCTTCGTAGGTGTATCCTGTGAACCCCTTAACAAGCTTCTGTCATTAATGAAGAAGGTTTTAATATTTCTAATTAAACTTAAAACCTATATCAACCGTTGAAGTTTGTGGGAGTGGTTTCCCGTAAGCCTGGAAATATATTTCCATATATGGGAATGACTTTATCAACAACGATGGCAGCCAATAGACTCAATAGAGCCTTTTCTATACTTCTATTGTAGAGTTGCAGCGATTCCCACGAATAATTTATTTTGTGGTGCTTGTTTGATTTGTGACATCATCTGCCTGAACGTGATCAGTGAAGCATGGATTCACCCCGGTTTTCAGCAGCAGCATTGCAGTTCTGATTTGCTTTATTCAAAGATTTTCGATAATTTATATTGCTGTTGCTGTTTTTTGTTGGGGGATGGGCATTTAGCGAGACAGAAAAATGTATACATAGCTTTTTCCGTGTTTAGTGATTTTAGTACATGAGCTAATCAATTGCTTTCTTAACTATATATTACTTGATATAATGATGAGTTATGTTCCAATCTTGCGATTGTCAGTAAGGAGTTCATGATAATCGTCTTAGTTGCACGTTGTCTCTGTGTTTTTTTTAGATAAGCAGAAAAGGTAATATAATTCAGTAGCAACATGATCGCAAACTGTTACAGGTCTTTGATACTCGTACTTTTTGTTTGCGTTCTGATTTAAATTACCAGCTGATTTGTGTCATCAAAATTCGATACGCAGGTATTCTATCATTGAATTTGTCGCACAATATCTTTTTTTCATCGAAAAACAGTTGGGAAAATTCAAAAATGGTTGAGAGAAAACTATTAATATCTTTTTGGTTAAATAATTTTTTCGGGAATTTTTGCCTGTTAAAGGGTTGATCCAGTAAAAGGAATATAATAAGTAACATTTCATACAAAAATTACGCAGTTTTTTCATCAACCTTCAACAATATTAACGAGTCACTTTAACAGGCTCGAGTCGACAGAAATGGGAAGAAAGAAAGTAACAACAAAGGAAATGACTTATTGTGTTACAAGAACCACTGCCACACGGTTGTATGTTTTCTTGAGCGAGATATAAGTTCATCAAAAGAAACTTTGATAACCGGATTTAGGGTCATGCAAGAATCAAGTGTTTCGATCCCTGCTTCCAAAGTCTCTTCCGATTTTTCCCGTCGATAATGATTCACTAGTTGCGAGCAGACGATGATAAATAATTCATTGTTGTTCATAGCACTTGGCCTCATATTCTCCAACTGCTTTATACACGTAATTCCTAATTTTTAAACATTTTCCTTAAATGAACAAAATGTTTAGACATTCAGAGGCTGTCGGGCCTGCAAAACCATACAGGCATACTTTTGTCATCGGTGCTGTCGTCTCTTGCCAGAATATTCACTTGTTTTTAAAATTTGCGTGCGAGGAGCAAAAAGGGAATAAGGTGGCTATTTCCCCAAAACGATTCTCGAATATTAATTTGTTTTAATATTTTTAATCGCATTGTTGAAAGGGGCTGCAGCCTCTCTAGGCTTACATGTATATCCCTCGCTAGCCCTCACTCTCGCCTCGTACACACCTATACAAAATAACTCTAAAAGGAAACAATTTTGTCTCCAAAATAGAAAATGAGCAACACGAGCCTGCATGATGAAGCTCGATGAGAGTTGAACGTGTAATGTTATTAACAATTTAGAATTATGTATTGATTCTTTTTTATGTATACAACCGAAGATTTTCACGTGTACAATTGTGTCTTTATCTTTTCTTTCACATCACAGATCCATGGCAGAGTCAAAGTGTCATTCGAACTTGTAGACTTCGAAAACACCGGTCACATAGAACTTGACGGGGGATGTTGCGACGCCACCATTTTCGGATGTGGTAGTAGTTGCGACAACAGATTCAATCTCTGCTTCGATGTCTACAGAGGGTAATAAGATCCATGATGGCATTTGTTTCTGTCTTACAGCTGTCACCACATTTTTCCATTTTCATTGATACACGCTTTTTAATCGAAAGACAATTTTATGTTCATACATATCAAAAAGAAGATATTTTAAAGTGCATCAACATAAACATGAACAGTACCAAACTTCACTTGAAGCAGCCAAGAAACCTTGTTTTTAGCCGATAACTTTTGTTCTTGGTTATATGATAATGATGATGATGATATTGATGAGCGATTAAATTATTATCTCTAATACTCATAAGGCATAAGTTTGAATAGAAGACCCTTTTTTAAGATAGTTTAATTTAAGAATTAAGATATTAATTTGCTTTAGCCAAAAGTCATTCTAATGTCGTCATTTAATAACTGTAATTCAGCTTCTACATTTGAATATGTACATGTATGTACGTTTAACCACTTTATCATGTTCATCGACGAACCCGTATTACAGCTTAAAATGCCATTGCTCTAATTGTATTGATCAAATTGTACCATCTCACTGCATTTTCCTCATATGTTTAGCCTTCATTCCGTTTAATATCTTCCTGTATTCAGGAATAACGATATGACCGATTGTGCTTATGGCAACTTTCGAACGGACCGCCTCTTTGAAAACAACGATGATTTTGACTTCCCGAAATCTCTAGCCAGCAATCTAGTCAACCCAATTGTATTGACAATCAGTTCATGGTCGGTAAGTACATCTTTTTTAAAATTAAAAATAGTAATAAATAATAATAATAATGATAATAATCTGGATTTATAAAGCGCCTAATACGAAATACCGTCTCTAAGCGTTTTACAGATATTATTACCCTGGTCATCGGATTCATTCACGCACAATGTGCACCATCTCCCCTCGCTGGGAAGTATTCCTACCATATGGTCACCATGAGGCCATATGGCAATTACTAACACAAGGGCTTTCATTTTCCTACCAGGTCCCCATTTCTCTTCTGGGTATGGAGTGGTAACTGTAGATTAATGCCTTGCCAAAGGACATTAGTGCCGTTTCAAGGGATCGAACCCTTGATCTTCGCATTTCAAGCCAAGTGCTTAACCATTTGAATAAGACACCTGTCTCTTTTTTTATTTCTTTTTTTTTCCTTCTCTCTCTCTCTCTCTCTCTCTCTCACTTATCTTACCATTTTTTACATCGCTCTTTCTGGATTAGTCTTAGTTTGAAAATTGACACGAAAGTCTACATGTGCATTTATGATAATCTATACAATTTGCACGTATCATTGTGTAGAGGCATTGGCTCACGGGCCATTTTCGCCACGGGAGCTAACCCGAATATATGCTTTCAAGCTTCTAAATTTCGCGAGCGCGCGAAGGCGTGGGTGGAAAGAAAAAGTAATAAACTTTGTTTATATGTTGAGAAAGAGTTAGCCATCTCATGCAATAGATTTGAAATACAAATTACATAGTCAGCCAATCTCGTTGCCCTACTATTCGTGAGGTGGGTACTGCTATTTTTAAAAATAATTTTCGGGGGGGGGGGGAGTCAGGCAGCCGTGTCTGCTTATACATAGTTCTTGTCCATCTTCAATCTATTACTTTTGTATCTTCCATAGTCTGGATTCAGGTCCAAGATTGAAGTTTGGGATTATGATCCATCTAATGCAGACGACAAGATAGATTATTACGGCTACAATTACCCATATAGTCCCGATCGAACATCAGCTTTGGCAACAGAACACACCGTGACACAGAATGGAGCAGGAACATCTCTGTAAGTAAATTCAACTTGTAGTGTCCATCTTCAAATACACTAACTGTATTCGTCTTTAAAATTGTTTGTGGTACTAGGCAATGTTATTGCGCCATTTTCTAGAACTTTCTATTGGAGGCACACAAGGGGAAATATATAAGAGTCTGAATGAGTGCCATATTCTCATGTGGAGCAGTGCTGTAAAAGAAGGTAGGATTTCAACTTGGATTCGGAACTCTCTAATGCTATTATAGTTCTCAACTGCAAAGGTAACTGGGTTCTTGGAATCTGAAGAAAAAGCTGATATGCTGATTTGTTTTTCTACGAAGAGGCGTGCATTGATAGATCGTGAAAATAATAGTATTAATGGTATATTTTGTGGATCACATTAACATATCATAGGTGAAGTCTACAGACTAAGTGCCATTCATCTGCCCATGATCAAATTTGTGTACTAGAAACATCCAAACAGGACTAACGATTAGTTACACATCATCAGTAAAAGTTGTATAAACTTTACGTTTGAGAAAAGGTATATTGGTTATTAGGATAATTCAAAATCCACTCTCTGATAATACGTGATTTGATTTATGATTGTGTTAACGGTATTTGTAATCAGTTTGATCATCTACTATCTCTAGATAATTATATAGAACAAGGCATGCTTCTTCGGAACTGATATTCACAAAAGTAACAGCATTTCCATATAGGAGAATTATAAATATGTGTTCTTTTTTTATTCTGTTTGTTAGAACGAGGGTTGCCGTGAAGGTTTACTGCGATGTGCATTACTACGGAACGTCTTCAGGCTGCAGCACATATTGTTTAGCGAGAGACAATAGTGAAGGCCACTATGATTGTAATGATATTACAGGAGCTAGGGTTTGTCACTCAGGATGGAAAGGATCTTACTGCAGTATAGTAAGCCATGATTTTGAAAATATTCATTTGGATTAGGGTTTGAATGGTTGATGGTGTACGTGTGTAGAGCTAACGCTTTGTCTAGCTGTATCTAGTGTGTACTCACCCTTAACGATACATTCCTCCACACAGCGCCGCATTGGCGACCTGACATGTTTTTGTCTCCTTTTACCAGGGATAAACAATTATCTCATTTCAATTTCAGTTTCGATTTCGATTTTTGTTTAAAGGCCCACTGTACTACTTGTTCCCTCTATATAGAAAACAATGCCTAATCGGTGACCATTGGTCCTCCATGATCCTCTTTTTTTTAAATGTTAATTGGGGGCTGAGTTGATAGGACCTGTCAGTGACCTTGCTGTGTGGTCTAACCCCTCCTAGCCAAACTAGTACAGATGGCCCATTGCCGTTAGAAAAGATTTAGTGACGACAGTATTGACGGTGACTTAAAGAATAAGGCATTAACAACAATACAAACAAAAAGTATGTATGGCTATAGAAAAGATTTAGTGACGACAGTATTGACGGTGACTTAAAGAATAAGGCATTAACAACAATACAAACAAAAATTATGTATGGCTATAGATAATAATATCATAGTAAATACTTGTGTTCTATATTAGGCCCTATATCCCAAGTTGTTCTTCGAGTTCTTTTCCGAGCTAGCTAGGTGTCGAACTCGGCGTTCAAATCAGTCGAATTAAGTGACGTTGCTTTTGATTATCTGGAATGTTTAGTAGTCTGGCCTAATATTCAATCATTTGCCTTTTTCCGCTAGAGAATCTCCGCTCAAGATTTATACATAATATTGATATTTTCTCGACACAATGGTCAGTGGTGGGCAGAAAGTACGTCCTGTAGAATATTACTGTACTTAGCATTTAATCATTCACTCGTTTACATTGACCTGTGCAAATTTGTAAAAGTGTGTGTGTGTGTGGGGGGGGGGGGAGGGTAGTGCTGAAGATGGTGTCATAGCCCCCCCCCCTCTTTCGTCGCCTGTTAGTGTTTACTGAATTTGTATTATGTTTGGTACCAACTACCAAGAAATATTAATCAATTAATTCAATCTTCTTCTTTATTTCATTAACAGGAGATCAACGAATGTGATTCAGATCCTTGTCAGTTCAACGCAGCCTGTACAGATCTCTTGGCTGATTATAGCTGTAACTGCCCAGCTGGTACACAAGGTAACAGCAAATACATCTACAGTTGATCATTTATACACTTTCAGTTAGGGCTTACGTGATTTTTAATTTTAGAATCTTGAGATTTGCAACAAAAAAAGGAGAAGAAAAACAAAACGAAACTATGTAGAGAAAATAATATCAGGTACGATATTCTAACATACTCAAAAAGCTTTCAACATTTATTTTGCAGGTAAGAACTGCAACGACAAAGACGAGTGTTCTTCAGACCCCTGTGAACACGGAGGCACGTGCGAGAATAAACTCAACCAGTACCAATGTAATTGTCCAAGAGAGTATAGCGGTGCCAACTGTGAATTCGAGATCGATTTCTGTGACTCTGACCCCTGTCAAAATGGTGCAACATGCCTGGGTGAAAATGACAATCACGTCCTGGAGTGTATCTGTGATCCAGGTTACTCCGGTGTTTTCTGTGATGTAGATATCGATGAATGTATCGGAGTGGACTGTCTGAATAATGGCACCTGTCAAGATGGCGTTAATGAATTTACCTGTAATTGCACAGAGGGGTATGGAGGAACATACTGTGAGTTAGATATTCGAGATGAGTGTGCATCCAAACCATGTCAGAACAACGCGTCATGCGTAGATATGGTTGGTGGATATGTTTGTGTATGTCGAGCTGGCTTTCAAAGTGAGAACTGTGAGGAGGATGTCAATGAGTGCGATCCCGACCCTTGTTCTTATGGTAACTGCACAGATCAAGTCGGACGATACACCTGCGACTGTTGGCCTGGCTACTCTGGAGAGAACTGTACAGTGAACATAGACGAATGTGTGGATAACACGTGCGAGAATAATTCAACTTGTCAAGACGGTGTGAATAACTACACCTGTAGTTGCATGTCAGGGTATACCGGTGTCTACTGTGACACTGAGATTGATGAGTGCTCAAGCTCTCCATGTCAGAATGGCGGAAGGTGCGAGGACAGTCTTGACAGTTTCACGTGCCAATGTGCGTCGACCGGATACCAAAGTCTACTATGTGAAATCGACATTGATGAATGCCAGGATGAACAAGCGTGTCCATCCAACAAGATCTGTGCCAATGTAAATGGGAGTTACGATTGCAACACCAAACCTCCGGAACCGACTCCCATTCCAGGACTGTGTCGTACCAGTGTGTGCTATAATGAAGGAACGTGTCTGCTCATCAATGGTAGCTACCAGTAAGTCGCTTGGGTCGAGTTAGTGCATAGTGGTAAAGACTGCTGGGGATAAATGTTAATTTACTCTCATTTGCTATTGTAATATCTTTAAAACTACGTCAACCTACCCTCCATGTTTGTTAGCTCTGAAACGCCAAAAGTTAACTTTAACTTGGTGAATTATTCTCCGATTCACTTACCTCATAAAAGATTTCTTTTACAGCTATAAGGGTAATCTAAACAAAGGTAAAGGCAAAAATGGTGTCTCAGAATCAATATTCTGAGACAGTTTATCTAATGACTATGTTCAAGGTGACACAACTAGTTTCTGGTGATCATTTAAGCTATTTTTTCCTCGGTGGTAAAGTCAGATGTTAGGGACTTTTAGATTCGCACGAAGACAATGGGGATTGCTACGATCGACGTCCTTTTAATGCACTGCCTTGAATGGACGTCACACGTATCAGTCCAAGCAAATCTAAAAGTCCCTATTGTCTTCTCTATTTGGTTCGTGGAGCTTTTGTTTTCGTATCCTGATAATGTATGAAGACTGTTTGGACATACATTTTTGCCATCATAATATTGTGATAATATTCCATGTACCATTTATGCGTTGTCTTCTTTCCAGGTGTGTATGTACAGATGACTTTTCAGGCGAGCTTTGTGAGACTCCCACAGAGCTATGTTTTTCTAGCCCATGCCAGAACGATGGAAGATGCCAGGTCTTAACTGAGGTGAATGGTTCCGTCTATTACAATTGCCAATGCCAAGAAAATTATGCAGGAATCAACTGTGAACTATGTGAGTATGGTTAATTGAATTGATCTTCTAATGCTATTGTGGATTAAGACGCAGAGCTTTATACGGCGATAAAATAATCTAAATAATAAGAAAGGTAGAAAATCATTTAATTGAAATGGGGAATGATAGAGGATTGTGGATATGTTATTCCTTGTTTTATTTAATTTAAATCGGCTGTTCATTTACCATCTATATTACACAAAATTAAATTACCCAAAGTTATACCAATGTATGGGACAATAAAAAAAATCAACAACAGATGACCGAGTACATTATGTTTATACCTAAAGGGCAGTCCAACCGATTTCAACTATATTCAATTCAATTTATTCAGCCAATCTTTAAAGACAATTTACAATGATACTGGGACTGGAACAATTATAACATGATGACAGGCTATGGACCCCTGTTCATGTCTAAGAAAGCAGAAAAATAGATAAACAGAATGGCGAAAGTTCGAAAGATTTGGCCACCGTACAATAACAGCAAAGTTATGAATGTTTGAAATATCAGATCACTAAGTCTATGCCAATCCAAAATTGGAAGTAAGTGTAATGTTAGGTTATATGTGAAGTACATCAATCAGATCAGATTATCACTCTTAATTCGGTAGTTTTTTAGATGATAAACATCTTTAAAAAAATGACCTTAAGCAAATTCTTTTTCTAACTTTTTATTGCAGTTTTAGCGGCTCGGACGGGAGATCAGGTAAGATCACGAATTTTCTTATTTCAAACATGTGTATTTTCCTTCTTTTGTTATATCACTCCTATTTAAATCTAATTCGATTCTTTCTTTTTTCTTCTATTTTTTAAATTTCATTCATACTTTATTACAAGAGGTAACTGATTTGCATAGTGTATACAAATGGCATGCATTTACTGCGTTTTGTTACTTGACGATGGCAAGTAGTTGAGATTGAAAATCTTGAATATGTTTAATCACGTTGATGTGCACCGGTATATGTATGACCATTTTTGTTGTTGTCATAATGCAATTAACCCCATTCTTTAAGAAGAAAACCAAATCCAAAAGAAGAAAATTGGCAAAGGGATATGCAATGACGATAACACATTTTCACATAATATTATGATTACTTCTACAAATTATTTTTAGCGTCATCTTTTATTTATGCTTAATGATGTATTGTACTAATGTTATTGTCGCTGGTCAATTTAAGTCAATTGATTATTCAATTTTCTTTCAGGGAGGAGGCTTCGCTTACTGGTACTTTGTGCTGATCGGAATAATTATCATCATAGTTATCTTGTCAGCAGGCATGTGTTTCTACAAAGTTCGTAGGTATGTTCAATTCATAATCCATATATATCCAAGTATATTTGCGTAGTTTGTGATTATGTCATACCTTTGTTGAAATGCCTGAATTATGTGACCACAAAAAAAAAAAAATTTGGAAGTGTGTTTTTTCTTAATTTTTCTTAATCCCGGTGCCGTGCAAACATGGCACTGGAGTAATTCATTCCATAATTCAAGCCGTGTCATGTTAAACTATATTGATCACCGTTTCCGACTATGTGCAGTGTTTAAATCATGGGCGGTGAATACATAAACAGAAGAGATGAAGATCTTTTTTGTTGGGGGGGGGGGATGGAAGACGATCCATTTTTAGGAGACACTGCCTTCACCTGTTGATTTGTGGACATCTGATTTACTTTATTTTACTCGGAAATTATGTGAATAAACCAGTTTGTAATGTTTTGTGTGATTGTTTTTAGGGATAGGAGAGAGAAATTTGAGGATTATGAACCGACAGTGTTCGCCAATCCACACACGGATAGTATCAGCATACCGACGACACTCGGTGCTACAGCAGGCCCACCCCTTCCACCAAAGGGTAAGTTAGACGATCCCAACATGTCCATGACCTTCACAAACAACATTTACTCTGACATCGATGGAACTGAGGTTCGTGGTGCCTGTGCGATATCCCCTAATCCTAAAGACACGAAGGATGACTTCGAGAAGGAGAACCCTTACGCTACAGGAGGCTATCTTCATAATAATGGTCAAGTAGCGCAACACGAGAACCCCTATGAATTCGCGAGAGATCCTGATGTAACGGATGCCCGTCCTGTAAAGGAAAACGACTACTCTTCGGACCCAACGAGTGTTAAAAGTGCTCGGAATCCATTAAATTTAGATAGCTCTTACTCAACTGCAATCTTTCCGGACAAGGAGCCGCCTCGCCCAATATCGACCAGCATCCCACCACCACTTCCACATCGAGATAACTCAACGAGGGCTGTCCCATCCGAGTACGATGTACCAGTCCCTCAAGGGGATGATTCGACGAGGAAGGTCCCGTCTGAATATGATGTACCTCGTACGACGTCCTCAACGGTTAGTCCTAGTCCAACTGGTGCTGAGCCACCATATTCCTTTAACATATATACTCAGGATGAAGACGTGTCGACTCCTAACGAAGCATCATCACCAACCAATTCCAAGAATCCTTTCTCTCAGTCTGCTGTAGCAACATCTAACGGAGGAGAGGAACAACATCCTATACCCACCAGCGGACCACCCACACCATCTAGTCCTAATAATCCATACTCGACTTCTATTTTTAATGAAGGAAGCTCTCAATCCAATGCATGAGATAATTTTTTCAATTATGACCATAAGAAGGAATGTCATGCGTGATTTTTATCCTGTCGGTGACACAAAATACTTAAGAATTATAACCGAAAAGCTAAATGATTTTTTATTTAATTTCAAATTCGTCGCTGGCGATGGACCAAAAGAATTAATGGTAATAAATTTGACCTTAGATATGTGGTAATGTGGAGGATAGATATTGCAATTATAAAACTTGGGTTGAGTGAAAGACGTTAAATTTGAAGGCATATGCATATACAGTAGTTCTTAACCAAGGTAATTGCACACGTTTTCCTGTCGACTGTCAATGATGCATTTTGTAAATATGACATGCATTTTGATGGAAATAGTTCTTAGAGCGCTTACAATCACCTGATTCTGTGATATAAAAACTTTTATGCTTGCTTGTATTAGAGAATTATGTTTACGAATTGGATTTTGGTTCAGAATCTGATCTTGGGAGTCTAGGGGAGGCCAAAATATATTTGTATAGATATCAATATTGTAATGGTAAACTATGTACAGTACTATATATATATATATATATATATTTTTTAATCGTAAACAATATTTTTTTAATGCAATTTTTTAGGTGGAGTCCAGTTTGACACGCCCTTTTTTCATAAGGGGTCAGAATAAAAATGTACATGAATTACAAATTCAAACTCAGTCTGTAGATTGATAACAAATTACCAGCGTCATGCAATCAGGCCTAAAAAAAAATGTTGTATTGCCCGTTAGGTGCCAAAACATGGGTCGGTCGGTCAAAAAAAAAAATTTTGTTTAAATACTTTTTTTTCTTTCTTTTTCTCTCCCTTTTCGGGCTGATATTTCTCAGTTTTGATTGCGGTCTCTAAAAGACGGTCGCAAAGGGCAATAAAACTTTTTTTTTTAAGGCCTCATCCTTATCATAGTCCCTGTACATGGTGATCGTAACGTTTTTGTCATTCCAACATGCAACTGTAACAATTAAATAACTGGAATCATTCTATGTATTATAATGCCACTATTTAAAGGCATCAAAGAACATACTTTAATACAGCTTGCTTACATAACATGGCTATTAATCCTCGATTATGAAAATGTCTTTTTTTTTTTCTTGCTTGCATGGTTTGCAGAATATTTCTCATTATATACAAATGTTACTTTCATTTTTCTTTGTCTCAAATCGAAACATTCTTCATTTACAGGTACCCTGTAATTTTAAGTTCTGGTAATGATGAAGTTAAAACGTTAAAGAATTAATTATCTTGGGTTCTATTTTTCGTAATGTTAGAAATTTCGATATAAATGCTCTTAGCCGATGTTATAGAATATGAATTCAGCATGCGTATTAAAAAGAAGATTAAGTCTTTTATGTGGTATATATCGCAATATGAATACTATTACCTTAGTTGCACTATTTTGGCCCTTAGGGCCTTTGTGAGAAAGATAGATGAACTTTAAGCAATCACGAAAAATGATGTCATCAATCTTTAACTAATAAAACATAGTTTAAAACAGAAGGAAGGTTAGTATCATCTCCTTTGGCAATACAGTTTGTATTGTAACAGCAAACGCCAAACAAACTTTATTTCGAGGGATGTCTTTGATTATATATACGAGAACACAATTTTTTAATACTTTGTATAGTATATTTCCTTAGTAAATATTGCAGACACAGTTGGAAAATACAGTAATCTTTGTTCACGAACTGAACGATATAAGTTCATAAATAAAAGTTTTAGATTTTTAACAACAGCAATGAAGACCGATTGTTGAATTTTTGACTTGTTATTAAAACAACTAAAATGTGTTTGGGGAATGCAAACGTTTTGAGAAATTCAGATTTTATAGAATGTATATCTAATAAATATTGTATAGAAATTATTGTCCAGCATTACAACTTCTAACAAGTCAGACTTGTGCTGTATCATTTTTAAGACGTCCAGTCTTATTATAGTAAGCATAGTAAGAGAGAGATAGGGGGCTGAGCGAGTTAAAGGAAAAAGACTCTTAGACAGAGAGAGAGAGAGAGAAAGGTAGATTGGTAGATATATAGAAACAGAGAGAGAGCGGGAGGGAGAAGCGAGGAGGGGGATCCATACATGTATATTAGAGATCAGGTGGAGTAGGAAATATTGCCAATTCATATGGAATTCGATATGTATTCAATTTTTTAATTGTGGTAATGGATGACACAAAAAAGCTGACCTTACCCCCCCCCCCCCCCCCCCCCCAACGAAACAAAATATCGATCGGCCAAATTTTCAAATTTTGGGACACAAAAGAAAAATGAAAAAATGTGCTCTTATATGTGCAGAAGGGGTGTGCATGGAAGAAGAGGCCAGATTTCCATACTACTACTACATGTGGTGGTGGTTGTTTAACTGCTAAGAAAGCATATATGATTATAAGTAAGCAACCAGACGGGCGACGGCTTTAGGTCCTCTCCGAATGACCTGGTAATGAGGATAGGGGCATTTATAAGAAGTAGAAAGGGGCATTTATGAAAAGGAGATAGGTAACTAATTAAAAAAGGAAATGGGGCACGTATCATTGTTAGAAGGGAAATTTCCAGAGGTGGAAAGGGGTACTTATCGCACCTGAAAAGGGGCACTTAAAATGTGCATTAGTGGAAAGTAAAGGGGCACCGATCAGATTTTAATAGGGGCAGTTATCAGAGGAGTTATCTGAATTGAAAAGGAGCAACTTCTCGTAACTGAAAAAGAGGCATTTATAAGCAGGGGAAGGGGCTCTTTTTTAATGGGGGCACTTATCATTTGGAAAATGGGCACTTATTAGAAAGGAAAAATGGCACATGTGAAAAAGTAAGGTGCGCTTATCCGATGTAAAAGGGGGGTAGTTATCAAAACAGGAAGGGGCGCTTCTCACAAAGAAAATTGGGCACTTGTAAAAGTAAAAGGAGCATCTTTCATATTTGAATAGGGCAATTATCAGAGGTTAAAGGGACATTTATCAAAAGTAAAAAAGGGCAATACTCGTACCTAAAACACATAACGCCACGTCACCGGGACGACAGCACCACGATTACAGAATATTATTCACACACACGTACACACACTTAACAAATTACAGTATGTTACAGATAAATAAATCAATCAATTTAATCTTACTAATGCTAAAGATGACTTATTTCATATTAATTGATAGTAGTATGACGTCTATTTATTTATTTATTTTGACATGTTTATAGAAAACAGATTTTCATAATATGGATTTGAACAAATTGGCATTTATAACATAACTCCGAAAGTGTGTAGAGCATTTTGGATGGAGGGCATATACGGGCATCTTTTAAAAGACTATTAGCTGGTATATAGGCGGGGCGTGGACTAAAATCACGATGGCTAGATTTCTAAAGAGAGGTATATAATTATTTTTAATGTCAATATTATTACTTTTTAGAAATTATCATCATTTTTTTCATGAATGTCCCTAATTGGCATTCTCTTTACCTACGTGAATTAAATGCGTACAGACAGAAATTCCTTGAACTTGTCCCCCACGTTTGTTATTATTTAGATATGCTGTAAATTCAATTTTATTATAAAAACAAAGTTGGAGCAATATGATTTTATGTGCAAAATGGTAAAGATTACAAAATCTAAAATATATAAAACGCACACGAAAAAAATAAAAACTTTTGTCAGAAGTGGGATTCGAACCCACGCCTACAAATGTAGACTGCGACCTGAACGCAGCGCCTTAGACCGCTCGGCCATCCTGACTTGATGGCTAATGTATGCTCTATAATATATAAATTCCTCATACCGCGTACCGCCTACGTACATATTGCAGCTAGCTATGTAGCTAGCTAGCTACATGTGCAATCTCAGAATGGTGTCCAGAATCGCTTAGTCCTTAGAGTTAGAAGCACTAGCTAGCTACTCATGATCATGCAGTGTTTTCAATGGAGTATTTTGATGCTTGTACTATCTAGCTTCTTGTTTGTGTCGTTGATAATAAACTGCTTTACAACGGGGCGAGCAAAACGTCCTAATATCATAATATTTTATGCCGATGATTTGGGCTATGGCGATCTGGAGCCGTACGGACACCCCACTTCTTCCACGCCAAACCTTGGGCGGCTAGCAGCAGGTGGAATAGTGCTAACACAATTTTACTCCTCCTCACCAGTGTGCAGCCCTTCAAGGTAGTCTGAGCAAGAAGTTGGTAAAGTTGGTATTCTGAACTAGTTTGGTACGCTTTTAATTGTGCTTATTAGTAATAAAATGGTGCTTAATCCTCATTTGCATATGCGCACGAGAGATAGACAAGATAATTGGTATTCTGAAAATTGTTGAATCTTTTAATCTATCTAGTCTATCTCATCTTGATGTTGATCTTGCATGGTATTTACAACAATATTTACAACAGCTTGACAGGTAGGGGTTGTATCTTTCGTGGTGATATAATGGCGGGAATATTTCTTGCCCAGAACCAACTTCGTGCCTTAGAAGGATATGACGATTTTAATGCTCTCATCTTAACCAATAATAAATATAGTGAAAGCGTGATTTGTCTTCATCATGATCCACATGCCACAGCGCATATGATAGACTCGCGTAATAAGTGCTCAAATAACTAATTACGCCCAAGATTAGTATGCGCTAGGCGCATCTTCAGATATGGCATAAAGTATTCCTATTGGTTGACCTACTTATCATGCTTAGACCTATATAAAACAGATTTTGATTGGTAGGTTCCATACAAATGGGCGTGCCAACAGTGGTCAAAGATAATAATAATAATAATAATAATGAACGTTATTTGTATAGCGCATATGACTCACATAAAGAAAGTCGCTATGCGCTTAGAAAAGAAGGAAAAGGGCGGAATAGAAATGAACATTTATACCTGATACACGAAAATAATTGATTGAAAACAAAAATAATGATACACAATTCCTACATAGCTTACATGTAATACATTGTAAATTCAGGTAATACAAAGTTAAACATGAAAAAACATGAAAATTAAATGAAAAATAAATTAAATATTAAATATGTACATGATACTATAACCAAAGAAATCACTAAACAGCTGGAACAAAATTAACAATTTACAAAAAGATGGGTCTTCAAAAGAGTTTTAAATGATTCTGTTGTGCTTGCCTGTTTGACAGTATCAGGCAAGCTGTTCCACAATTCGGCCGAAGAATTTCAAGATAAGATAGAGGCGGTCCTTCAAGAGATAACACAGGGATAAAATGATGTTCAGAATACCAACCTACAACAATATTAGCGCTGTGCTATCTCTGGAAGACACAACAAAAGAAAACACAAAACTTACAACAATGTTCAGAATACCACCCTGAGAGGTATTCTGTAAACTCTGATAACATTGAACTAGGGTCTACCGTCTAGGTCTATAGGCCTAGATAAAGTCAGATGTAAATAGCCTAGCCCTAGTACAATGTACATGTATAGATCTAGATCTAGAAATCTATGTAGACTTGTGAGTTGTGTGTACGTGTACCGGTAGTAATATTGTGGTCAAGAAAATTACAATTTTAACCAATAATTGAAATTGAAATTCAGTGATTTACTGTTCTATAACTTTTAGACTAGACTAGATCTAGGCCTAGAATAATTTTTTTTATAAAGTCTAGAGATTCTGAGCTTTCAAATACCTGTACATATTTTTCTCTACCTCCTGCAGAGCTGCATTGCTGACTGGCCGATACCAGATGCGATCTGGAGTTTACCCGCGTGTCTTCAATGTTGAAATGTCTGGAGGTCTTCCTCTCAATGAGACTCTTATATCCAAAATGTTGAAGCCAGAAGGCTACAGATCAGCAGCGGTGGGGAAGTGGCATCTAGGACTAGGCAACAATTCAGTTTATCTACCCCACAACCATGGATTTGATGAGTTCTTAGGTATTGTATAATTGTACTTTGATGATAAAGGCTATAGATAAGGCAGTCTTAAAATTAGCAGATTTGTAAGTAGTAAAATGATCTGATCGTGGCAGTAGAATTTAAGTACAGAAATGAATGTTGAGTCGGCAATTCTGATCCGTAACCATTAAAAGTTCAACCAAAGGCACTCATATTAGACCCGTAACCCAAATTTTACCCCAGGGGGGGGGGGGATCCTTATTTAGGACCTTATTTAGGGATGGGTGTCCCTCCTTTCAGAGTAGGCTGGAAACGTTAGCATTTTTCTATCTCAAAATCAACATTTAGTTGCATTCCTGGTGGTCTCATGATCACGATCTTGCAGTTATGTACAACATGTATTTGGTACGCGGTACTATGCTTAGTATGATATGTGTGCAAGGCATAGAATACTGCATTGGTGTATGTGCCTCCAAATCACATGCTGCATGCCATAGAACAGATACTGAACAGTAATGTACCAAGTACTGTACCATACCATACCACTGCAGTGCATTATGCATTTAAAGCTGTTTTCATCTTCTCATCAGAAGTAGATAACAGGCACGGACCAGAGTTACGTACATGTATTGGGTATTCCTATTTTACTTCGGTCGGTTGACTTGGTCCAACTACAATGTCAAAGCAGGCACAAAGCCAGAGTTTTTCAAGATTGCGCCCCAGCATTGTATACATTCTTTTTCCCGTCAACATACTCTAGTTATGGGCCTGCATATTGTTTTTTAAATTCTAGTACTGTAATCTAAATCCATTACAATTATTTTGACTATTTATCAGGTTTATATCTATTTAACTATACTAAATATTTGAAAATATTTTTTCGATCTCAGTATAGCTTTTTTTTCTTCAAGTGTTCAAGCATCATATCCAAGTCAGAAGAAAGACTACCAGGTTTGTCAGAGAGCAATAGTGATGTGTGTGGTACTTTATTGAGGAATGATGGACATATATGAGTTACATTTATTGGCTATAACAAGGAGGTCCTATTACTTCCTGGCCTGGCTTACCTTACCTTAATCGTATGTGTGTTGCCAACCTAGTCTGGCTTGCTTGTTAATCAAGACACGTTAACATCTCCTCCCTTCTTAAGACTGAAACAGTGAAATTCTATCTGAAATCTTTGATGTTTCCATTTCCATCAAAATATAGCATTTCTGGTCTTTATAACAGTTCCAACTAGTCAGTAAGTTTTCCTTTAACACTTTCATGGCTATCACCATGTTTGTGGCTGCATCGAGGTCGACAACAAATCAAAGTCTAAACAAAGGCTTCTAGGGGAATTTGTAGCTCTTTAATTGGAGTAATTATTTAGTTCCAATTCATTCCGTACCAGTACATTCCATATTTCATGTACTTGTTTAAACAATTAACTAAACAATTATAAATTCCAAAATCTGTACTTAGTGCTTCAGCACTCTCATAATATATCTTCAAATTAATCAACAACATCTTTACTGTTATCATTAACCTTAATATAAAGTCAAATGTACATATATCATAACAGCATGGGCTTGCATGTCTTACATTAAATACTAACATCAACATCTCTCAGTAAGAAGTTCAAAACATACACATGAATTTCCACTTTATGTTTCAACAATTCATAGAAATACATTAAATATACAACAAAACTAACCTCTTTGCCTGACATAATGACAACCTTATGACTGATATCTCCTTGATGTATCTGACTTTGGTTTGTAGTTGTGAATCAATATTCCTTTGGTCACCGTCATACCATCTCAAATTTCTAACATGTCAGAATTTATTTGAAAAAATTTCTTTTACAAGTTTGCACATTTGTAGTCTTTAAGCACCAAGCACATTTCTACTTTATTGAAATGTTGGATATCTTAACATAATCTTCACATAACAACTTACATGTATATGAGCGAGCTGTTATGCTTATAATAACTTGAAATCTCAACAAAAAAAATACAATTCAGTCTTTATAACTGCAAAAGATTTTTTGTTTTTATTGAATAAACCATATTTCAAATTAAATCATATCAAATATTGATTGTAATTTCTAAATATTACAATATAAATATTGGCACTCAGTGGAGCAAGCATTTCAAACTGTCAAAGTTTATTTTGTATCTAACATTTCTTCTTGAAATTCTACAGTGGGTGTATCACGGTAAACAATGGACAGGACATTATGATTACAAACTTTTCTCCCAGTTATTTACATTTTTATACATGTTTGTTACATTTCTGATACCATAGATTTTAAGTTTACTAAGTTTTATTCTTGTTCTTCCTTGTTTTTGATGTTGAATCATATTAGGCTTGCCAGCATCTCCCTCCCAGTGCCGTTGCAGTGTCTGCTTCTATCCTAATGTAACCTGTCATCGTGCTCCTTGTAGTCCTGAATATAGCCCTTGTGCGCTCTTTAACGGTACCACAATCATCGAACAACCAGCTGATCTCCTGACGTTAGATGACAAATACGCGATGCAGAGCAGACGTTTCATCAGAACCAATGTTGAAACTGGGACACCCTTTTTCCTGTACTATGCCTCGCATCATACGCATCACCCTCAGTATGCTGGGAAGGAAACATCGGGTACATCGATAAGAGGACGATTTGGAGACTCACTGGCGGCCTTGGACTGGGAGGTGGGACAGATATATGAAGAGCTGAAGGAAAACGGAATTCTTGAGGATACATTCTTCTTCTTTTCATCAGACAATGGGTAGGTGGTAGAGATGTTGGTCAAAGAGAACATGACTGGTTTGTATTTCTCGCTATCTCCATTACCTCCAAATGCTGGAATGTGCACCTGTACACATATTTTGATATTTTGCATGCTCAATATACGTATCCGAACACCTAATTCTAGATTCGTCGGCTGCTACTGACTTCCTTGGATTTTTTGAGAAGAAATACTCAGGGAATCCCACTGCATGTCCATCAATTTTGTATTTGTCATTGTTTTTTTTTGGTCAAAACTCTGCGAGTTGAGTCAAGATTGAAGCAACTTTTCTCAGGTCACACGCTGTGTTGGATTCGTTGGGAATTTTATCCAAGTCATATCTCATTGAGGGATATCTCCAAAGATTTTTTTTTGTTTTTCTTGCGACCAGCACACAGCAGATGCACAGTATCGCACTATGATATTCCAACTGACAATTCAATTTGTAAAAAATAGAAAATTACTTATGGTATAGTATCAAAAAAGCTGAAGACTAAGTGAAAAGTACCACCAGTGGCTTAATGGGCAAAAACTGGGGGAGGGGGGGGGGGGGGGGGGGGGGGAGGGACTGTGTAGAGAGGCGGCGGAGCGACTTCCAAATAGAGGCATGCACCAGGAATGTAAAGAAAATGGGCATTTGTCGAAGGAAAAGAGGCAGCCATCAGATTTTGATAGGGGCATTTATAAGAAGTGAAAAGGGGCATTTATGTAAAAGTTATAGGTTCCTTATTGGAAAGGAAAAGGGGGCATATATCATTGTTAAAAGGGTAATTATCAGAGGTGAAAAGGGGCACTTAGCGCATCTAAAAAAGGGCACTGACCATAGTTGAAAAGAGGCACTTACATGTACAAGAATGAAAAAGTGGCTCTCATTAAAAAGAAAAAGAGGCCCATGTTAAAATAAACGGGGCACTTATCAATGATGAAAAGGGGTGATTTTTAGAAGGGGAAGGGGCACTTATAAGAAGGAAAAAGAGAAATTCATTAGGAAGGAAAAGGGGGACATGCAAAATAAAAGGGGCATTTGTAAGAGATGAAAAGAGCACTTATCAGGAGGGGAAGGGGCACTTGTCAAAGTTTAACGATTATCTCTCAGAATTGAATAGGGTCATTTACAAGAGATGAAAATGGGCACTTATGAGAATGAAAAACCCCTAATTTCATATATGAAAAGGGGCATTTCTGAGAAGGGAAAGGGGCTCTTTTGAAATGCGGGCACTTATCATAAGGAAAAAGGGCACATTTGAAAATACAAGGTGTGGTTATCCAAGTTAAAAAGGGGTAGTTATTAAAAGGGAAAGGGGCACTCTTTCAGATAAAAAGGGGAACTGGTCAAAGCAAAAAGTGAACCTCTTATATTTGAATAGGGCAATTATCAGAGGTGAAGGGGGCGCTTCTCGTACCTGAAAAAGGTAACTTACTAGAGATTAAAAAGGACACTTATGGGAATGAAAAATGGACACTTATTGCAAAGGAAAATGGGAACTTGTCAAAAGAAAAGGGTACGTGTCAAAATAAATAGGGCACTTATCAGAGGTGGAAAAGGGAAGGGGCACTTTTAAAGATTAATAGAGGCACTTGTTGCAGGAAAAGGGCACCTTTTCTATGCAAAAAGGGGCACTTTCAAGGTGCTTCAAAAAGTGGGAAGGCACTGTGCCTGCCCCCCCCCCCCCACCCCCGCCTCTGTATGTGTATAAATATTAAAAGAATTGATTTGGGCAAATGTGTTTTTAAAAGAACCAACATAATTTTGTCGAGACAGCTTCCTGCATATTAAGAAATGATTCTGTAAACATATAGATGGCAGAAAATAAATATTATGGAAAGTATCAAGAGAACAATTTATGAATTGCACCTTGTACTATCACAAACTTAAAATACAACATGATTGGATAGGAAAGAAAAAGGGGAACACAGAAAAAAAAAGCAGGATCGAAGAAGGGAACCTGATACATACACTCAGTGAGAGCCTCATTATCTCATTTTTGTACTTTCTATCCCGTGTACTATGAACCTCCACAGACCAAGTCTTTCCCTTGAGAACTTTGGAGGAAATGCAGGACTGATGAAGTGTGGAAAGGCAACAACGTACGAGGGCGGTATCAGGGTGCCTGCCATCGTACACTGGCCAGGACAAATCACCCCAGGCAGGTCAATGGAACTCTCAAGTACCCTGGACGTACTGCCAACTATTGCTTCCATAACCAATGCTAAGCTACCCAACGTTACACTTGATGGCTACGACATGTCACCATTCCTTTTTCAAGGCATGCCTGTAAGTAAACCAAATGATTTACTCTGTCGTACTGTACATTGAGGTATGATTTTCTTCAGCTATGTTATAGATTAGAAGCTACATCTTACATGTAAGTAACAGAGGCTGTAGCATACCCAATTTCAGGGGAAATATTTTCTGGCAACATTTTGTTTAATTTGAATTCATATCTACATTCTTTTTCTGTAATTCTGTAAGGGAAGGTTAGAAGCTGCGGTTTCAAGCCGACCAGGCTCCCTTCACGGTTTTGGGGCTGTGAAGGGATCTCCCTGTTTATTTTTGTACTTTTGGAAGAGCCCCCGTGGACAAAAAATTAATTTGAGCCCTGGTTAGATTTCATGTAAGAAAGGCCTCAAAATGGACTGATCACATGTAATGATTGCATGCTTCTCAAATGTAAGGGTTATATCCGCACTATTAAATCGGGAGTCGGTTGAAAATCCTCTCGCTACATTTTGCCCTCATATCTTCTTCTTCTCTGAAATGTTTCCAAACAGTAAGATTGATGACGATCTATTTGCAGAACCTGGGGGGTGTTTCATAAAGCTGTTCGTAAAGTTACACATGACTTTACAAACGACTTGTATATGAAAAGTCAAATGGGATGCTCAATCATTATTGATTATTATTTATTAAGTTGAGCTGTGCAGATGTAGATAAAGATTCTTATTATAACAAACATTTTGAATGCAAAGTATATTTTTTGCCATAATTTAATTGAGGTTATTGCAAATATCAGAAAAAACTTTGGGCACAAGGGAACTCTAGATCCTCTACATCGATGCCAAACCAGACTATCAGCTCACCATTCGCCAATCTCAATAGCAATTTGCTCACCATCTTGAAGAAAAACTCAAATATGCCAACAGCAAACAGTGCTGGAATCTATGTCCCTCTTTTGAAAACCGATGATGGTCAAGTTTTAAATGCAGCAAAAAGGGAGAAGGCCAAGCTTCTGAACAACACGTTTTCCATCAATGCTTACTGCAAGGTTCCACCTGCAATACAACCAAGAATCTAGAAGGTTTATATCTTCTATAAAGTTTTGGCCCAAGATTGTTATCAAGAAACTTTGTAAGCTTGATACATCCAAGGCAAGTGGTGCAGATGATATCTCAGCCAAAGCTTTGGAGAACTGCAACACAGTCCCTGCAGTGGAAAAAAAAGCTCTTGTAAAAGCTGTGCCCATTAAGGGTAAATGAGCAAGACCCCTTCAAAAACAGGCCCATGTCTCTTCTACCAAACATTGTGGGGGTTATGGAAAGTATCATCGGTGACACTACATCCGGAAACACCTTGACAAACATCACCTTGTCAGTGACACTCAGTAAAGATTCCGAGAGAAGAGTTTGGCTGTAGACATGCTTTCCTACATTACTCGACAAGAAGTGAGGGTTACTGCTCTGGATATCAATAAATTGTTTGAATGTGTGCGCACTGCAAACTGCTAACCAAACTCACTTCATTCAGCATCTGTGGTAATACACGCAGCTGGATATCATCATTTTAGCTTACTGTCAGCAGGCTGTAGTACAGTACTAGATGGATTTATCTCCAAACCCAAAGCCCTAACTACTGGGGTGCCACAAGGATGCGTCCTAGGGCCCTTGCTATTTCTTATGTTTAAAGATGATCTTGCTTCTCATCATGACAACCTTTTTGCTGATTACTCTATACTCTATGCCTTCATCAAAATCCCTGAATGCCCAACAATTTGCACAGAAAGTCTGCATGTAATCAAGAAGTAGGCGTTTGATTTGTGCATTACTCTCAACACCAGCAAGACGGAGTCCCTACATCACCAGTCTTGCCAGGAAGAGAGCAAAGGGGCTCTACATCCTAAGCCAGTCAAGAGACCTTCTTCCATTCAAGGCCATAGTCACCATCTACAAATCCTACATAAGACCCCTCATGGAGTATGCATCTCTCATTTGTGGTGGAGTGGGCAGCACTGCTCCAGATCTCCTTGACAGACTGCACCAGAGCCTTATGCATTCTGCGAATCGGCAACTCAATACACACTAGGTGTTGGGATCGACCCGCTGGAGCACAGAAGGAAAGTAGCAGCTGTTTACTGGCACTTTTCTTCTCAAGCCTTCCCTGGAGCTGGGTAGTATCCTTACCCCAGTGTTATCCATTACAAGTCCTTCTGTGACTGCACATACGTACCCCAGGTCTCCAACGGAGCTTCATCAATCTGCTTACATACCAAGGGCATTCTGATTCTGGAAATCCCTCCAAGCTTATATCTTTCCCCCTACACCAAACATAGACAGATCAAAAAGATATGTCAATAAGTATTTAATTTCTAAATTGTATTCTTCTAATTCTATAATTTTGTCCATTTAATTCACATTTTCTTCTTTAATTACACTGAAATGAAATGTAACTTTGATATTATTTAAACATATTTGTGGCTTACACCCAGTAAATAAGATCGTTTGATCGATCTGTATTGAAAAACAAGTCAGAAAAAATCTTGGAACCAGCGGGACTTGAACCTGCATCTACTGCTTGAAATTTCTCCCAGGAAGCATTACATTTATAACTTTGAAATTTCTCCTAGGAAGCATTACATATTTAACTTTGATATTGTCCACAGGCTACTTTTCATCAGCTTTGATGGCAACAGCAGGTCCTGCAACATATTGTTAAATAAAATATATATATACATCTATATATTTGGGCACCCCTCACATTTCTTGATCTGCTAGTCACTGCATCAAAATGGAGAATGTTCAAATGCCACCATCCTTTTTTCTCAAATTTTTCACCTGTTCAACTGTAAAGTGTGAAGTTTGCATCGGAACAATGTTAGTGTGCTGGATATTTCATGAAATACTCTGTATGAATGCAAATAATGCTACATGTTCAGAAGTTAGATGACTGCACCTATTTAACCCATCGACTACCAACTCTGTTGTTTCCATAGGCTTTAATGCAGGAGCCACCTAGTTCCAGTAGTGTATAGGTTGATAATGTGTTATGTTAAATATCCAGTTAGACATGATGTAGCCTTTGTTTGATTAAATACATAATCTTAATTTGAGGGACAACTTTCTTTATAATGTATATATGCTTGATAAAATGGGCAGTTGTTACATACAGACTTCATCATTGAAAATGTCATTAGCTCCTATATCTTCTGCCTGAAAGTTTTTGTATTTGCTTCATCAATTTTTTGTTTATCTCTATCTTTAGCATCTCATAAGTTGTCACATGTGTCTCTTACAGAGTCTCAGAGAATCCTTCTTCTATTATCCTTCAAAAGTTGATACCGAACACAAGTCATATGCGGTACGATATAAGCAGTACAAGGCCGTTTTCTACACTGAAGGCAGTGCTCTCTCCAACAATAAGAACAAAGATGTTGATTGTCGAGGTAATGTATTCTTTGTTCAAAACCTTTAAAAGAAATAGTAAAAGGATCACTGATAAACAAAGAGATCAATTATAACTCATGTATTAGGCTTTCACACCTTTTTTTCATTAGATCATAATTTTTTCTTACCACATGTTATTAGTTTCATTTCTCTCTGTTTATTATGGTGGTGAAAGAATCATGTTTGGGGTGTATTATCTGGCTCTATATCCATGAATATTGTGTTAATTTAGTTATATTATAGGATCACAACCATACTTGGGCCAACTGCATTGAGGTATAGAAAGAAGGTGTTAGGTGTTAGGATTCTGACGTCCAAAGGTCATTTTGCTGAAAATAACCTACAATCCTAACTTGCATGTATGTCTGCTCGACAGATTTTAAGATGCTTATACATATGAGCAGCTGCTAAGACTTTGTATTCAATGATAGCTCTTACATCTAATGCAATAACTTAAGGGCTAAAGGGGACATTCAACGAAGCATGCCCCAGTATTAAAAGTGGACTAACAAAACAGAGACGTCAAATATCTGAGCTTTTGCCGATGCATATTGTAATTTAGCTATTGTAGTAATCTTTTGTGTACTGCATTTAAGTTTGAATTTTTAAACACTGTCTCATTTTTATAGGTACATCGCTGCGTACGTATCATGACCCTCCTATGCTGTTTGACCTTGAGCAAGACCCTTCAGAGCAGTACAATATCTCTATCAACCATTCTCCTGAAAGAGATATCATCCTAAAGCTCACAAAGATGAGGGCCGACTTTGATGCCAAAATGGTATTTGCACCATCTGAAATGAATAAGCCAAGGGACAAGAATCTGATGCCGTGTTGCAATCGAGGATGTAGCCCCTACCCGTCCTGTTGTCACTGTATCAGCAGCGCTCCGCGAGCTAACAATGATCCGTTGGCGCTCTACAAAAAACCTATGGAAAAAATTATCTAATACGCGATAGTAGATGGAAATTGTCTTATGTCTACCATTGAGATAAAGAAGTTACCTAGCTATGAGGCTGAAGAAAAAAAAGGATTCCATTTAAATGTTAAAGGTATGTTTCAATGCCTGGGCAGCAAGAATGTCTTAAGCAATTGTAATCATGTAGATCTTTAAAGACGATCCAAACTTTGATCTTCATTGTGCAAACAATTGATATATGAAATGAAATAAATTTGAATCGATCAATCAATATTAAATTGGATGGCCTTCCATCTAAATTTTAAAGATATGTTTCAGTGCATGGGCAGCAAAAATGTCTATAGAACACATCGCCATCTTTGTCACTATAGTACTAGTAATTATGTCATATTAGATGGCCTTTCATCTAAATGTTAAAGATATGTTTTAATTAGTGCATGGGCAGCAAAAATGTCTTAAGAACACATCGCCATCTTTGTCACTTTTGTACTAGTAATTATGTCATATTAGATGGCCTTTCATCTAAATGTTAAAGATATGTTTTAATTAGTGCATGGGCAGCAAAAATGTCTTAAGAACACATCGCCATCTTTGTCACTATAGTACTAGTAATTATGTTATATTGGATGGCCTTTCATCTAAATCTTAAAGATATGCTTTAGTGCATGGGCAGCAAAAATGTCTTAAGAACACATCGCCATCTTTGTCACTATAGTACTAGTAATTATGTTATATTCATCTAAATGTTAAAGATATGTTTTAGTGCATGGGCAGCAAAAATGTCTAAAGAAAACATTGCCATCTTTGTCACTATAGTACTTGTAATTATGTTTTATTGGATGAGCTTTCATCTAAATGTTAACGATATGTTTTAATTAGTGCATGGGCAGCAAAAATGTCTTAACTCTTTGCCCGCTTCGTTCGGCTTCGGAACGCATTTAATTCTATTGTACGCACACACACACAATAGTAACGCGTGCTTCGCATTGTATACACATCACACTTCATTGCACCGCTTTCGCAGACATTGTTTACATTGACATTTTCCGAGAAAAATTGAGTTTTTGAAACTACTTTTGCAAATATTCTGATGAGCTAGGATGGCCCCTATTAGGAGGAGACGGGACTTCTTCACTGCTGACCAGGTACGAGAACTTGTGATGGACCCTGTTCCAACATTTTGACAAGCAATGCATACAGTGAAAATGTTAGGTTTTTGTTATTCTTTGAATACATAACTGTCATGACTGTGTCAAGTTTAATTTACATAATGGTCCATTATCTAAGCTATGATAAATAATGATAATGCAGTTATTTTGTTATGTGTTCTGATTTGTATACATTCATGATGTAATTTTTTGGTATGCTTTCACCAGGAAGCTGAACTAAATGTTGGGGTTGTGTGGAATAACAATGTACAATTTGATCTGCAATAGATGAATGCCTTATTTTCGGGTTGTGTGGAATAACAATATAGTTACAATTTGATATGCAATATATGAATGCCTTATTTTCGGGTTGTGTGGAATAACAATATAGTTACAATTTGATTTGCAAATTTGATTGTCTTGTGTCGTTTATTATTTTCAAAAAAGTGACTGTTTTTTTTTATGGGAGTTCTTATTCAACACTTTTTAGAGTGTGGTTGAGTTGTGGGATGAGATGAGATGCATGTAGAGAAGTTGAGTGACTAACAAGGAAAGTGTGGATGATAGAGAATTAAATAGAGTGAAAGCGTTTTGTAGCATTGAGGGAATAATTCAACATAAAGTACCCTAGCTCTCTCTCTTCGCCTGTCTCTATTTCTCTATACCTGACTTTCTCTGTCTCCGTCCCTTTTCCTTCTATCTCTCTCTTTCTATCTATCCGCCTCTCTGTCTGCCTGTCTCTTTCGCAATCTGATTGTCTCTTTTCTCTCTCTCTCTCTCTCTCATTTCTCTCCCTATCTGCCTGTCTCTTTCTTCTTCCCCTCTCCCTGCCTATATCTTCTTTTCACTCTCACTTTCTCTATCTGCCGCTATCTCTCTCTCTCTCTCTCTCTCTCCTTGTTTCTTATTTCTCTCTGCCCCTCTGTATCTTCTCATCCTCACTTTCTCTTTCTGCCTTTCTTTCTCTGTCTGCCTATCTGTCTTTCTCTCTCCGTGTCTCTTCTTATTTATATCCCTATCTGCCTGTCTCTTTCTTCTTCCCCTCCCCCTCTATCTCTATCTTCTCACTCTCACTTTCTGTATCTGCTTATCTCTTTCTCTCTCTCTCTCTCTCTCTCTCTCTCTATCTCTCCCTGTCTCTTGTTATTTCTCTCCCTATCTGCCTGTCTCTTTCTTCCTCCCCTCTCTCTGCCTCTCTCTATCTTGTTCTCACTCTCATTATCTCAACCTGCCTCTGTCTTTCTCTGTCTGCCTATCTGTCTTTCTCTCTCCGTGTCTCTTCTTATTTATATCCCTATCTGCCTGTCTCTTTCTTCTTCCCCTCCCCCTCTATCTCTATCTTCTCACTCTCATTTTCTGTATCTGCTTATATCTCTTTCTTTCTCTCTCTCTCTCTATCTCTCCCTGTCTCTTCTTATTTCTTTCCCAATCTGCCTGTCTCTTCGTTCTTATTCTCTTTCTTTCTCTCTCCCTCTCTCTGTCTACCTCTTGTTATAATGAACATGTCAATATGAGACTACATATGTAGACGAATATATTTTATTCTTATTTATTATACATCAGCTTTCTACAATTCATAACTTAGTACATGTTTCAAGCATACATTATGTTCATGGCTTGCCTTATTAGTGTAGAAAATCAATAAGTTCTTCTATTCATTTCTTTCAATTCTAATAGCTTGCACAGCCTTGCAAGTAATAATAGAATGTTACACCATCTTACCTACAGACACAATAAAGGTCATCAAAGTACAATCAAGAGACAGGAAGTCTATTCAAAAGTACCCAGGGTCAATTTCAATAGGAGATTAGTTCATTGTCGGCTTACTCTTTATTCAATCCTAAATTACCAGGCTCATTGTGACCTTCAACACATGAATTTGGTATGTAGTGAAAGCTCATGAATACATCTTTTCAATGAACTAACTCAGGACATAAACCTCCATAGCAAAGTATTAGATATAAGAGGTATAGAATACCCTTCTAAACGAAAACTTGGATACAAAATGTATAGTTGATAATCTCAAAATTTATGATAATATACATTACAAAAATGATACCATTGGCAAGACTATTAATTTCTATACAATATTGCTACACAAAGTTTTTCATTACAGTACACCAATCAAAAGTTATTGCGAGTTGAATAAGCATAGTCCATGCAGAACCCCTCCTAAGGTGGCACCCTAAAAACAATGTGGCACAGGGGGGATTGTGTACGTGGCGGGCAAAGAGTTAAGAACACATCGCCATCTTGTCACAATTGTACTAGTAATTATGTTATATTGGATGGCCTTTCATCTAAATGTTAAAGATATGCTTTAGTGCATGGGCAGCAAAAATGTCTTAAGAACACATCGCCATCTTTATCACTATAGTACTTGTAATTATGTTATATTGGATGGCCTTTCATCTAAATGTTAAAGATATGTTTTAGTGCATGGGCAGCAAAAATGTCTTAAGAACACATCGCCATCTTTGTCACTATAGTACTTGTAATTATGTTTTATTGTATGGCCTTTCATCTAAATGTTAAAGATATGTTTTAGTGCATGGGCAGCAAAAATGTCTTAAGAACACATCGCCATCTTTGTCACTATAGTACTTGTAATTATGTTTTATTGTATGGCCTTTCATCTAAATGTTAAAGATATGTTTTAGTGCATGGGCAGCAAAAATGTCTATAGAATACATCGCCATCTTTGTCACTATAGTACTAGTAATTATGTTTTATTGTATGGCCTTGAGGTCAAGAAAAGGATATATTTAACTAGATATGCAAAAATATCGGACGAGTCGAAGATAAGTTTTGAGTTCATGCATATCAAGTTCAATATTTACCAGAAAAGCTGAATTATGACATCCACTATTGATATTATTATTCCTAGATTTTTTGTATTTAGCAATTACATACATGTACTTGAATGAATTAATTAGTCTTTTCAAATGTGGTGGTCGATCCATTCTTTTTCATGTTTTGCAAAAACTTATATCATGTTCACGAATTTAAAGAAAATCGAAAGCTTAATCTATGATAGGCTATTGATGGGTGAGTCAAAAACTTGGTTATTTGGGACACACCCTTGTTCTATTTTTTACCAAAAAAAATATTAAGAGAAAATATCATTCCATTTTGTCAACTAACAAAAAATGTAACACTCGTATATAGATAAACATATATATATATATATATATATTTATAATATACCCATGGATATATCCATGTATATCCATTATCTTGCCTTGCAGGTTTGAGGGCTTCGTCATTGTTTATATGAACATGCTCAGTATTTCAAATACACTGTATTAGACATTAAGGGATGATTATTTCTCAGGTTCAACAAACTTTTTGAAGTGGGTCATGGTCAACAAATTGTCTAGACCCAATAATATTGACATACTTGTTTATAAATCGCTTTTTGTTCAAACTCTCATTGACCTGTTCCTCTCAATGTTCTCCTTTTGTTAAAACCCACTTAAAATCAGGGTAGACTTCCCCTTTAATTGGCATGTGTGTCAGAAGGTCGTAAATCATGCAAAATATGTATTTATCTTCCACCCTATAGGCTTTTGCATGTACACGCTTTTTTATACATATTTTTATACATATTACAGTTAGTGATAATATCACATTTGTTTTGGTAATAATGACTTGGTTCTCTCTAGATTCATATAGGGGACACTAGTCCAGTACTATTTCTTGGTTGTATGTAGTTGTCATTAATACGTGTCATACACTTCCAATATGAGTACTAATGGTGGGGGTGGTGGTGGTGGTGGTGGTTATTTTACCTGACCTTAAGTAAATAATTATTGTAAGACGGTGTTACTGCTGCAATCACTGATGAAGCAAACTTGGTTTCAAACAAAAATTAATGTATTACATTTACTAAACTCAACTAAATTGAATGATGTTAGCAAGGACTGTTTTTGCAAACCATTATAATAATAATAATAATAATAGGTCTTGTTTACCCAGGGTAGCCTCATCAGTATTCATACTGTTCTCCCTGAGGGCCCTGCCATCATATTAGGAGGCACTCCAATATTTTTGTGAATATTTAAGTTGGTGTCCCGTAACGTATTTCTGGGGTTGTGAGCCACGCCTATTTCGAAATGGTAAAAAACAATTCCTCGTTTGATTTGAAAGTTGATTGGCTTTCTCGGAGACGCGTAGGTCTTGATTTTACTGCTCACAGACGAGACGTGACACGTGATAAGGTTTAGAAGTTTCTTTGACCTCTAGGAAGAACAGACCCATCAAATTAATGGCTCTGAACAGAACGATCCGTTATTTGTTATGTCATATGTGTGTATTTATGCTTTTCTTAACGGAAATAAAACCGAATCAAACCATAAAGATTGCGGCTGATTGTTGATTGAGATTTATAAAAAAAAAAATCGGAAAGGCACATTCAGTCGTACGTTTTGTTTTGTTTCACTATTAACCCAGTTCAGCTTGCAATATTGTAATTTCGTCATCATGATTATGTATATGTATCAATAAATATCTTATATCATTATTTTAATTATTCTCGTTTCGGACTTTGAATTATGTCGTAGAGAGATTGAGATTGTTTGATTTATTTTCTATGAGATTTTGATAGAGATCCTGAAGTCGACAGAGAATTTGATGCTGATTTAAAGGACGTACAGAAACGATTGGTGTTGAGTTCTGATGAGAAGAGCGAATGTGATCGAGAGGAGGAGTTGGGCTTAAGTTTGGATCCGGACTTTGATTAAATTTGAAACAGATGAATTTCAACGAGAGATTGAGATGTTTTATTTTCTATGAGAGGATGATAGAGATCATGCTGTCGATTTGATGCTGATTTAGAAGAGAGGTGAACGGAGTTGAATTCTGATGGGAACAGAGAGGTGGAGTTAGGCTGAAGCTGGGATCCCAAATTGAGAGAGAAAGGAGGAGATGGGTTGAAGTTGGGATCCGAACCTGAGAGAGGGGGGGGGGGGGGGGGGGGGGGGGGCTGAAGTTAGCTGAGAGAGAGGGAAGATCGGCTGAAGTTGGGATCCGAAGCTGAGAGAGACAAGTCGCAGGGTTTTCCAAATGCAGTAACAAAATTGTTTTCCCATGCAGATCAGAAAGTGAAGTTTTAGCATGACGAAAGTCGTTCCGTTTCATAAAACTTGTTATCAATAACAAGTTACAAGCTACTGTTATAAGCTACTGAAATCATGGTATCTGATTGGCTGAGAGCAAATTTGTCATAGAAATTTTGCATTTGTTATTGAAAACAAGTTTTATGAAACGGGCCCTGATCTTTCATGAGTTGCAAGCGCTGTTCTGATCAGGTCTATTTTCACTGCGCGCGAGCGGAATTAGGGTGGGTCAGGGCGGAAATAAGCAAGAAAAATGCTTCACGCACACGACGCACTACGGATAGCCTATAATCTAGGCGGAGTGCCGAGCTTTTTTCTTTGCTGCTAGACTAACCCTAAGCAGAACGTCTGATACGGCGAGACTACGAACCGTGAGTCGCGGAGCCGCTTCACGACTCACGGCTCGTAGTCTCGCCGTATCAGACGTTCTGCTTTGGGTTAGTCTAGCAGCAAAGAAAAAAGCTCGGCACTCCGCCTAGATTATAGGCTACACTAGTATTGCTAGTATTACGGCTACAAATCGATATACATTAGCGCTAGCGCCTGTATAATTCATTTTCAGAGAAGTTATCTGAGAAAAACTGCCTATCGGGCGGATACCCCGGGCAGGGTACGGTATACAATAACAGACTTTTTCTTCAGGAAGTAATTTGTAAACAATTATTCTTCACTAAAGTTCATACGAACCAGACTAATCATGATCATGCAATCTTTGGAACGGGGTATTTTGATGATTGTAGTATCTAGCTTCTTGTTTGTGTTGAGAATAAACTGTGTTACAAGGAGCGAGCAAAGCGTCCTAATATCATCATTTTTTATGCCGATGATTTGGGCTATGGCGATCTGGAGCCGTACGGACACCCCACTTCTTCCACGCCAAACCTTGGGCGGCTAGCAGCAGGTGGAATAGTGCTAACACAATTTTACTCCTCCTCACCAGTGTGCAGCCCTTCAAGGTAAATCGAGTCTGAGGTTTAATAGCTACGTAACGGGTAACTCCGCGAAGCTACAACACCGGCATCGGCGTCGGAGCTTCCCGGAGTTACATACATTGTAGCTGGGAGCCCCGCCCCGTGGCGGTGGTGGCAGTTAATGCTGGTGGTGACCAACGTTTTGTTTCCTTCCAATTCTAGGGATATATCATGGATATAATCATATAGATCTAGGTCTAGGGGCATGCAGGGCCGGGGCAGTATTGTGAAAAATGTGATAAAATAAACAAAGACTGATTTAACTTTATTTTCTCTCAATCGGTATTCTGGAAAATAGTATAGGGTCTAGGGCAGATAGGGTCTAGTCTAGAGATACATCCCAAGTCGAAATTCCAATAGGATCCGATATAGCCTTTTGGACCATCAGATTCCATTAGAGCTATTGGTTTCAATAGGGAAAGTGAATTATTGGACCCACAGAAACCAATAGAAAATATAAAGTATTGGACCAACACTAACGCACAGAAAAAAATGCTGATGGACCAATTAACAGTTGGACCAACATCCACCCATTCTGTTGGTCCATTAGATATTTCCTTCTATGATGTGTTTCTGTTGGTCCATTAGATATTTTCTATGGGTTCCTGTTGGTCCATTAGATCTTTCTATGGGTTAATGGTCCCATATTCTGAATTCCCTATTGAAACTAATAATAGGCCTATTGGTTGTTAATGGTCAATAGTCCATTGGCTTCTATTGGTAAACCAATAATGATAAATCAAAAATTGATTTTAGCAACTGTCCACCAAAAAGGTATATTCTAATCTCAATTGCATAATTAACTACATCACAAAGATCACTTGGAGTGATTTTAAGAATATCCTTTATTTAACTTAAGGGTTGTACTATTCTACATAATAAACGTACACAAACGCGTACGCAGCAGGGGGTTTTGGGGGGTCAAACCCCCCCCCCCCCTCCCCCTCAATTTTTTTTTTTTAGTGTGTATTTTGGAGGAAATCCGGCCCCCCCCCCCCTCATTTATTTTTTTAATTAAAAAAATTGTGCCAATGGGTGACCAAAAAAGGTGACCTTACCTCCTACTTAAGTATGTAGACTTGTGACCATGCATCATGTGTAATAAACGAGTAATATTGTGGTCAAGAAAATGACAGCTTTAACTTTTACCGGTAACTAAAATTGAAATTCAGTGATTTGCTGTTTCTGTTTTTTTTTTATAAAGCCAAGAGAAAAAGTATAGCCTATAGGTAGATTACAGTATTGCTTGAAATAAAGTAGACACATTACCACCAAGTCACACCAAAGTCTATGGAATAATACATGCAGTCACACGTGACACAGTGTGAGTGTTTATTCCAAGCAATACAGCAACTGTATGTACCGTTTCATCTAGACCAAAAATTCTGTCTCTTTCGTTCGTTAGCCTCTGATTTGGGTATATAATGGTCGGCTCTTATAGAATTCATCAAATAGAATAGCTGACTCTATACCCAAATCAGAGGCTAACAAACGAAAGAGACAGAATTTTTGGTCTACGTTTCATCTAACTTTCACTGGAAGGTCAGGTTTCTTTAATTTTTCTGCTTTATATCAAATAAAGAACTGTCAGGGTGGATTTTATAGAGTCACACTTTGTCCCAATTGAACTATATTAAAATGTAAATGTATACGGTACATATGTAGACTTGTGTGTTGTATTGTGGTCAAGAAAATGATGATTTTAACTAATTCATTAATTTGCTGTTTCTGTGTTTTTTTTTTCAAGGAGAGTCTGAGCTTTCAAATACCTGTACATATTTTTCTCTACCTTCTGCAGAGCTGCATTGCTGACTGGCCGATACCAGATGCGATCTGGAGTTTACCCGCATGTCTTCAATGTTGAAATGTCTGGAGGTCTTCCTCTCAATGAGACTCTTATATCCAAAATGTTGAAGCCAGAAGGCTACAGATCAGCAGCGGTGGGGAAGTGGCATCTAGGACTAGGCAACAATTCAGTTTATCTGCCCAACAACCATGGATTTGATGAGTTCTTAGGTATTGAACTTTATATGGCAGTTTTAAAATTAGCAGATTTGTAAGTTGTAAAATAATCTGATTGTGGTAGTAGAATTGAGTATTTTTCAACAAATTATTTCAGGCATTTTGCCTGGGGTCTCAGTCATATAGAAATAATGTAAGCATGCGTGACCAAAGTTTTTCCAGACATCCCATAAACAAGGATTTCTTGTGAAGCCAAAATACACCCTAAATGAGGATTTTACGTGTTTTTTTCTCCAGAATTCACATCCTATCCTAAACGGGTATTTCAAAAAAGTGTACTCCTAAACAAGTATTGTAAAATTGTAACCCCTTGAGCATTTTGAAGTGCGATAGGGATTTAATTTGTTGACAATGTAAGATAAATCAAATTGTAAAAAATTATTTCAATAGAGAAGCAATAACATCAACCAGAACACTTCCAAATGGGTCTAATGCACAACCATCACAAGTCCTTTCTTTGAAGAAAAAAAAAAAATTATATTTCAAATTTTATCTAGCTATTACATATAAAGTACATCTTGTGTTTACTAAAAGAAAACAAGAACCGGTAACCAGAATTTTACCAGGAGGGAGGGGGAGCTAGACTTCACCGTCAGACATTATTGAGTGACTGACTGGCTTTTTTTTCTTCTTTGGTTAAAACATACATACACAAAATGAGCTGTAAAGGGTACATGAGCATTTGTCTACATCAATAACCCACTTCTTGTAATGGCCAAAATTAAACTGATTGAATCTTTGCGCAGCATAAAACGTAAGACCATGCAGTACAATGGTCTGAAAATCAGACTATTACTTACTGGCTCTTTAGCCCTTAAGTCAATTCGACAACTAATAGTTGTTATTTTCACACTTAAAGACATTTTCGAGCCCCCCCCCCCCTTTTTTTTTTAAGGGAAGTTCATCTTTCAAATGCTGTTGGAATTTAACCTTTTCATTTTTTGGCCTGCAAATGGGTACCTTTAAGGTGTGTGGTACTTATTGAGGCAGGGCATCCAACTGACTGTTCGGCCCGCATCTACGGTTTATATTGGTATCAACAATGGAATGATTGACATATACCTTTACTAGCTAACAAGGTGGTCCTCTTACTTCCTGGCCTGGCATACCTTATCTTTTTATTATGTGTGTCATTAGCCAACCTAACTGCTTTGGTCCCCAACCTAGTCTGGCTTGCTTGTCAATCAAGACACTACACTTGGTTATTATATTAAAAACACACAATTCAGTCTTTTGAACTGCAATATTTTTGTTTGTATTGAATAAACCATGTCAGAATATATCAAATATTAATTGTAATTTCCAAATATTACAATATAAATTATAGCCAGTACTCCTTAGCCCTCTCAGTGTAGCAAGCATTTCAAACTGTCAAAGTTTTATATTGTATCTATGCCCCCTGTTACACATGCGTTGGCTTTTAAAGCTCGCCCCGGAGGTGTCATTTTTTTCTGCGGCACAGATTGGGGCTTTTTTTAAAAAAAAAGGTCTTGATTTAACCCTAATCCTAACCCTAAACTTCCCCATAGGCTCAACAAGCACCTAACCCCAATCTGTGCCGCAGAAAAAAATAACGCGCCCTGGAGGCGGCTTCATGCCTGCAATTTGAAGCCGCCTCGAGATCATCAAACCCCTGTTACACATATCTCGGGTACGCAATTTTGCATCTACACATAGGCCGGCCTCACATCGCCTTTTCACGAGCTGATGTTATACGGCGCACTCCAGATGGCAAAGCGCATGTTATGTTGATATATGATGACGGGTCTCGTTGCTTCTGCTTATAAGCCGGCGACGAGACCTTTTTGGTGTTACAACTACTGATTGCGGGACCGTTGAGTCTGGACTCGGGCCAGCTTCAAACCATATCCAGAGGTGGACTGGATGGAGGCGGCCTCAGTCCGGCCTCAGCCCGGCTTTTAAAAAAAGTTGATGTTACACATACGTCGAGCCGCCTCTGGAGGCGACCTCGGTCCACTTTCAGAGCTATGTGTAACAGGGGTCAGGGGTCTAACATTTTGGCCGTGGGAATCCTGTCTTTCTTCTTGAAAATTATGATTAAAAACTTTGCTCCCAATTTACATGTTTGTTACATTTCTGATACCATAGATTTCAAGTTTACTAAGTTTTATTCTTGTTCTTCCTTGTTTTTGATGTTGAATCATATTAGGCTTGCCAGCATCTCCCTCCCAGTGCCGTTGCAGTGTCTGCTTCTATCCTAATGTTACCTGTCATCGTGCTCCTTGTAGTCCTGAATATAGCCCTTGTGCGCTCTTTAACGGTACCACAATCATCGAACAACCAGTTGATCTCCTGACATTAGATGACAAATACGTGATGCAGAGCAGACATTTCATCAGAACCAATGTTGGAACTGGGACACCCTTTTTCCTGTACTATGCCTCGCAGCATACGCACCACCCTCAGTATGCTGGGAAGGAAACATCGGGTACATCGATAAGGGGACGATTTGGAGACTCACTGGCGGCCTTGGACTGGGAGGTGGGACAGATATATGAAGAGCTGAAGGAAAACGGAATTCTTGAGGATACATTCTTCTTGTTTTCAGCAGACAATGGGTAGGTGGTAGAGATGTTGGCCCAAAAGAACATTGACTGGTTTGTAATTCTCGCTATGGCCAATACCTCCAAATGCCATAATGTGCACCTGGTACACATATTTTGCATGCTCAACTTTAATAATATTTGAAAACCTGATTCTAGATCCCTCTCTCGTTAGCTGCTACTGACTTACTTGGATTTGTTATAAGTTCACGATTGTTCGAGAAGAAATACTTAGGGTATATCACTGCATCCCACAATTTGTAATTGTTTTTTGTCAAAATGCCGTGAACGGAGTTGCGATCGTGCAGTGATTTCACACTTTTCTTGCCTTCAGAGCAACTTTTCCCAGGTCACACGCTATGTTGGATTCGTTGGGAATTTTACCCAAGTCACATATCTCATTGAAGGATATCTCTGAACATTTTCATGCCTTGGTTATGAAGTAGCCGGAGGCATTATGTTTTCGGGTTGTCCGTACGTCCGTCTGTATGTACGGCCTGTTCTCGTGATCGCGTTATCTGAAGAACCGATTGATGGATTCCTGTCAAACTTTGGTCATGTATGTATCTTGCAGAGCTGATGAACTGATTAGATTTGGGGGTCACAAGGTCAAAGGTCAAAGGTCACTGGGCTTATTGTATGCAAAAAACGGCTCATGATCGCATTATCATTAGAACAGATTGATGGATTCCTGCATAACTTAGATCATGTACTGTATGTATCTTGCAGAGCCGATGAACTGAGTAGATTCTTGGGTCATGAGGTCAAAGATCATGGGCTCATTATGTATGCAAATATAGCTTGTGAACGCATTCTCATTAGAACTGACCGATGGATTACTATCAACTCAGGACATCTTGCAGAGCCAATGAACTGAGTAGATTTTAGGGTTATGAGGTCAAAGATCAAAGGGTCATATCTGTATATGAGAAATTGCTTGTAACCACAATATTCTGAGAACCTGTTAATGGATTACAATTGAACTTGAATTTGAAAAATTTCTTCTGTTTTGGTTTGTAAAATTGCTCTATGACCAAGGGATCATTTTCGACTGCGTGCAGTCGAAGTTCCATCTAGTTTTGTTTATTTTCTTGCGACCAGCACACAGCAGATTCACAGTATCGCACCATATTCCAACTTGGGTGCCCCAAGCATCCCCCATCAGTATGCCAGTAGGTACCACAATCCAACTATTGCAATGCTGGCCGAGACCGCATAATTTGCTCACACTTTTGATTTTGCTTCCTGATCCCTTTCATTAAATATTTTTTACCAATTCCAAGCTTGGTAAGGTGAACAAGTAAGTTGCAGAGAATGAACATTAAATTTGTTTGTTTAATTGAAAAGCCTGCCAAATCAGATTTCATGATTCAAGTGAGCATTATATATCATTGTGTGGAATGTTGAGATGCCCTTCTGCCAATGAATGTGTGTGGGTTATTATTTTGCTTTCCGTTCAATCAGTAATTCAATTTAATTAATTCAATCAATTCATTTCCATCTTTGTTTAAAAAAAAGCTGTACAATAAATTGAATAAAAACATGCGCTTCCATATGAATAAATACATGTACATGTGTATAGATAGTGATAGAATTGGTTTGGGCACAGCTGTGAAAAGAACCAACAAGTGTTTTGTTGAGACAGCTTCCCGGGTAATATATGATTTGGTAAACATAGATGGCAAAAAAAAATATTATTGTAGGTATCATGCGAATAATTTATGAACTGCACCTTGTTACTTTCACAAACCTAAAATACAACATGATTGGATAGGAAAGAAAAAGGGGAACAAATAAGAAAAGGAGAAGGAAGGGAACCTGATACATACACTCAGTTAGAGCCACATTATCTAATTTTGTACTTTCTATCCCGCGTACTATGAACCTTTCACAGACCAAGTCTTTCCTTTGAGAACTTCGGAGGAAATGCAGGACTAATGAAGTGTGGAAAGGCAACAACGTACGAGGGCGGTATGAGGGTGCCTGCCATCGTACACTGGCCAGGACAAATCACCCCAGGCAGGTCAATGGAACTCTCAAGTACCCTGGACGTTCTGCCGACTATTGCTTCCATAACCAATGCTAAGCTACCCAACGTTACACTTGATGGCTACGACATGTCACCGTTCCTTTTTCAAGGCATGCCTGTAAGTAAACCAAATGATTTACTCTGTCGCACTGCACATTGCGGTATGATTTTCCTCAGCTATGGTATAGATTAGAAGCTACATCTTACATGTAAGTAACAGAGGCTGTACCATACCCAATATCAGGGGAAATATTTATGGGACAACATTTTGTTTAATTTGAATTCATATTTACATTCTTTTTCTGTAATTCTGTAAGGGAAGGTTAGAAGCTGCAGTTTCAAGCCGACCAGGCCCCCTTTAGGGATGACAAACCTAGCTTTTGTCTTTTGTGGCAGTGAAGGGATCTCCCTGTTTTAGTCCTAGGAGTAAGTTGCCGCAAAGCACAGGGCATATTCGCATTGGTTGACGGCCCATTCCTTCTACTTTTCTATTGTTAGATTTCATGTAAGAAAGGCCTCAAAATGCATACCTGCCAACCACCCTGATTTAGGCGGAGTTTCTCCGCATTTTTCATACCAACTCCGAATTCCGAGTGCATGCCTCAAAACTCCCGATTTTTTTTTGATTTTTTTTTTTTTTTTTTTTTTTTTTTTTTTTAAATTAATATTTTGTTTGTGCGTCCGCCATTTTCAATGGCAAAATGTCCATTCTGTCCTGTAAAGTATCCTACAAGCATCTCACATCAGCAATTTGGGGATGTTTATTCATACCTGCGTATAGCCCACGTGTATTTATATTACATGTGCAGTTGATACGCCGTGCATAAACACTGTATACATTGGCGTGTTTTCTTCAATGCTTGTGCGATGACTGCGATCGTGGAAGCTTGTTATTTACCGGACTTCCTCGGATTTATTTTGGATTACTACTACTATATACCTTTGCAAAATAGGGCTCCTAACTGAGGTGGGTAGTGAAACATGTAGTTTTGTGAGTGTTCACATTTCAAAAATTGTTTATGTGTGGGGCGAAAAGGTTGAAGGAAAAGGCCCATTTGCACCATTAAAATGAAGAGAAAAAAAAATAGACCCTAAAGTCCTGTGTACCCCCCCCCCCCCCCCCCCCCCCCCAATCTACGGGCTACTACCCCAATCCTTCGGTGGTTCGCGACCTCGTAGTCCATCCAGAAAAATTTACTCCTAATTTCTCTTGTCTCAGGTTGGCAGGTATGAAAATGGTCTGATCGCATGTAATGTTTTCTTGGATGAATGACTTCGATTTTGATCTTCTTACCCTTCGTGAAATTATGTTATTTATTCTGTTATGTTGCGGCGATGTTCACCCGAGGAGTTTTAATAGCTGGAGACCCAACTGGCAACAAATTATTCCAAACAGCTGCCGTTTTCTATGGTTGTACAATAGAATCTACTGGTGTGCTGTTACCTTTGAGGTTCGAAGCCACCAAAATCATTGGAAAGCTTGAGTAGTGATTTTTTTCACAAAGAAATGTCCTTGATATTTCACTTTTTATTTGAACTAACAAGTCCTAATTTTGTCCATTTAATTCACTTTTTCTTTTTTAATGACACTGAAATAAAATGTAACTTTGATATTGTTAACAGGATCCCTTTCTCAGCTTTGATGGCATCAACAGATCCTGCAACCTATTGTAAACATATATATATATATATATATATATATATATATATATATATATATATTATATACATCTATTTATTTGGGTACCCCTCACATTTCTTGGATCTGCTAGTCACTGCATCAAAATGGAAAATGCTCAATTTCTCAAATTTTTCACCTGAAGTTTGCATGGTAAAGATGTTAGTGTGCTAAATATTTCATGAGATACTCTGTATTAATGCAAATAAGGCTTCAGAAGTTAGATGACTGCACTCATTTAACCCATCGACTACTGAATTCTATCATTTCCACTGACAGGCTTTAATGCAAGATTAACCCGGTTCCAGTAATCTATCTGTTGATAATGTTTTATGTTACATAGCAAGTTAGACATGATGTAGCCTATGTTTTATTGAATACATAATCTTAATTTGATGAACTTTTTCTTTATATTGTAGATATGCTTGATAAAATGGGCATTTGTTACAGAAGCTCCTACCTTCTGCCTGAAAGTTTTTTATTTACTTTACCAATCTTTGTTTATTTCTATCTTTAGCATCTCATAAGTTGTCACATAATGTCTCTTACAGAGTCTCAGAGAATCCTTCTTCTATTATCCTGCGGATGTTGATACCGAACACAAGTCATATGCGGTACGATATAAGCAGTACAAGGCTGTTTTCTATACTGCAGGCAGTGTTCTCTCCAACAATAAGAACAAAGATATTGATTGTCGAGGTAATGTATTCTTAGTTAAAAACCTTTACAAGAAATAGTAAAAGGATCACTGCTAAACAAAGAGATCAATTATAACTCATGTATTAGGCTTTCACGCCTTTTTTTCATTAGATCATAATTTTTTCTTACCACATGTTATTAGTATCATATCTTTCTGTTTATTATGGTGGTGAAAGAATCATGTTTGGGGGTGTATTACCTGGCTCTATATGTGGTTATATCATAGGATCACAAGCTCACAACCTCACAACCATACTTGGGCCAAGAGAACTTCAGGTTTAGGATTCTGAGTTCCAAAGGTCATATCGGTCAAAAACCTACTGTCCTAACTTGCGTGTATGTCTGCTCGACGGATTTTAGGATGCTTATACATATGAGCTGCTTGTTTTGTTATGTTGTGTCTTCTGTTAAATACTGTAACCTATAACTACATTACAGAATCACAACAACCAATATCGGAGGCTTACAATCTTGAGTTACTTCGGGTTCAGCCATTTAATCTGGATCCATCTTGTGCACTCCACTGTGCTTCGCCACCTTGTACCATGTATTTGTCTCTTCCGAAAGGTCCGCTAGGAACTATTACTGAAAGTATAACTTGGCGTGACGAGAGTATAAATTTGTGTATTTTAGGGGTTATGCTATTTCGTTTAATTTTTGGGTTGCAGATTCGAAGACTGTGCTGGATTTGATGTCCACGTTTGGTTGAGGTAGGTCATTCCAGAGTTTTACATCTTCAGGGAAGAAGGATTCTGCGAATTGTGTTGATGAGCACTGAAAGACGGTCAACTGTTTATCATGTGTCCGCCTACTTCTTGATATAATCTGGAGATAATCTTCCAGTGGGATATCTAGTTCTGTATTAATCATCTTGTGGAGTGTAGTTAGCCTTTGGATTAGGCGTCTTCTCTCTACGTTGTCCCATTTCAGTGTTGTCAGCATTTTGGTTACACTGGACCGGGGAGTGAAGTCGCCCAACACGAACCTTGCTGCCCTTCGCTGCACTTTTTGCAGCAAATCCCTGTTTTTCTTGGTTCCGGGGTTCCATGCCGAGCTGGCGTATTCTAAATGGGGTTGGACTATTGTCTTGTAGAGATTCTCTTTCACAGTTCTTGAGCAGGAGGAGAAACTCCTTTTAAGGAAATTAAGCATCTTTGTTGCTTTAGTTGCAGCATTGCTGGACTGCCTGTCCCATTTTAAGTTATTTTGGATGATGACTCCCAAGTACTTATTCTCTTTGACCTCTTCAAGGGGGTTATCTATCATCTGGTAGTCAGTCTTCCTGGGATTTCGTTTTCTGGAGACCCTCATTACTTTGCACTTTGATGAGTTGAATTTCATACCCCACTTGCTTGACCATTCTAGCAAATTGTTAAGGTCAGTCTGGAAGGAAACTTCAGGTTTAAGGATAGGCCTGTAGATAATACAGTCGTCTGCAAATAGCCTTGGGGTTAATGTGACACACTGTATTGTGTCGTTAATCATCATCATCAGCGTTTAAAGTCCATTTGTCCCACTTTGTAGGGTTGGACATTTCATTTTCTTAATGGCTGCTTTCCAAGCCTTCCTGTCTGTGGGATCCATATGACTGATACCCGATGTTTTGGCATCTTCTTCCATGGTTTCCCTCCAAGTTTTCCAGGGTCTCCCGCGGGGCCTTCTTCCGGTGACCGGAAAGTGAAGAGCCCTCTGGAGCCAGTGTGTTGCCTCTCTTCTTGCCACATGTCCAAACCATCCAAGTCTATTCATCCTCATAACCTGCGCCACCCCCATCAATCCCATTAATTGAAGGAGGACTTTGTTCTTCTTTCTCTCGTGAAGTGATACCCTGCGCATCCACCTCACCATCCTCATCTCAGCTTTCTCCATTCGCTGTACACTGAATGATTTCATTGCCCATATTTCGCTCCCGTACGTCATGCATTTTCTAACGCAGGCATCATACACCTTCCCTTTCACTCTTAACGGGGTCGCCCTTGAGGTGAGGAAAGGAGAGAGTTCCCAAAACTTTTTCCAAGCACTTTGGATTCTTGCAGTCACAGCTGCTGTCTCTCCTCCTCTGACAGCCAACATGTCTCCCAGGTAGCAGAACTTATCCACCTTGTCATACGTCGTTCCATGGAGATCCAGACCTGTCACATTGTCACTGGTACACTTCTGTGAGATTGTACCCAAGCATCTCTTACAGATGAATGTCTTACTTGCTGCTTGCAGGCTACCACATATCCACTGTATCTGCGATGGACCCAGCTCCTGCATTTGGTACATCTGATTCCCATGATCGGTATGCAGTCTTTCTCCAAGACTATAAACTCAATTTTATACTTCTTTCCATTCTTTGGATTTCTCATCTTTATTTTCGCTTTCCCAAGAGGCACCTCTATTGTTTTCTTGTACATCAACAGCACTAGATGTTTACTGTCATCCACTTCCTTAGCATGCACCTTGGGAATTATGTTGCATGTGGCTCCACAATCCACTTGGAATTTCACTTTCTTCCCTTCCAGGATCATGGCTGCAAAGAATTTCTTTGGGAATTTACTTGTCTCAACTCTGTGCACATGCTCTGATTCCACTTCAACTGGTTGCAGTTCCATCACATGGATTTCATCATAGTACTCTATGAAACCAGTATCTTCAAACTTATGACACCATGTTTTATTATGTTGTGTCTTCTGTTAAATACTGTAACTTATAACTACATTACAGAATCACAACAACCAATATCGGAGGCTTACAATCTTGAGTTACTTTGGGTCCAGCCATTTAATCTGGATCCATCTTGTGCACTCCACTGTGCCTCGTCACAGAGGTTGCTATCCCATTACACTGCTATGACTTTGTATTCAATGGTAGCTCTTACATCTAATGCAATAACTTGCAGGCTAAAGGAGATATTCTACAAAGCATGCCCCAGTATTAAAAGTGAACTAAAAAAACAGAGACGTCAATTATCTGAGCTTTTGCCGATGCAGATTGTAATGTAGCTATTGTAGTAATCTTTTGTGTACTGCATTTTAGTTTGAATTTTAAAACACTCTCTTATTTTTATAGGTACATCGCTGCGTACGTATCATGACCCTCCTATGCTGTTTGATCTTGAGCAAGACCCTTCAGAGCAGTACAATCTCTCTATCAACCATTCTCCTGAAAAAGACATCGTCCTAAAGCTCACGAAGATGAGGGCCGACTTTGATGCCAAAATGGTATATGCACCATCTGAAATGAATAAGCCAAGGGACAAGAATCTGATGCCGTGTTGCAATCGAGGATGTAGCCCCTACCCGTCCTGTTGTCACTGTATCAGCAGCGCTCCGCGAGCTAACAATGATCCGTTGGCGCTCTACAAAAACCTATGGAAAAAATAACCTAGTATGCGATGGTAGATGGAAATTGTCTAATGTTTACCATTGAGATAAGAAGTTACCTAGCTATGAGGCTGAAGGAAAGAAAGGATTCCATTTAAATGTTAAAGATATGTTTTAGTGCCTGGGCAGCAAGAATGTCTTACAAAATTGTTATCATGTAGATCTTTAAAGACGATCCAAACTTTGATCTTCAACTATGTTCTTCATTGTGCAAACAATTGATATATGAAATGGATGAAATTCAAATCAATCAATTATTACAGTACTTAAAATTATGATATATTGGATGGCCTTCTATCTAAATGTTAAAGATATGTTTTAGTGCATGGACAGAAACTGTATCATGTAGATCTTAAAAGACGATCCAAACTTTGTAATAAGTTTATTTGTGTGGAAAAATAAAATAAGAGTACCAGAATAGTAAAAGCTTGAAAGAAATCGGACAATTGATAAGAAAGTTATAAATGTTGACACTTGAGATCACAAAGTGTATGCTAGTCTAAGGTGGGCTATGTGGTCAGTGGATTGTGACACATTCTCAGTCAAATCCTGTTTGAGGTATACTAAAAATGCTACTCGAAAATATGAAAAGCATATTACTTAGTATTGTATGTCCTCCAATAACAAAACAAAAAATCATTCTAAGTAATGCATTTTGGAAAATTTACATTCTAGTCGTTTTGTGTACATCACAGTGACATAATCAGCCATTTTGAAATTCATGTATGTATTGTGATTACTACTTACAAAACTTTACATCTTTCCTATTGTTTGTTCAATTTTATTCAAACTTACTAATCTTCTTCTCTGATTTTTATGCCTCCGCCACCGAAGGTGGTGCCGGAGGCATCATGTTTTCGGGTTGTCCGTCGGTACGTCCGTACGTCCGTCCCGTTTGACCGTTATCACAATATCTCAAGAACCATTTAAGATTTAAACTTAAGACTTGGGAATAGTATTTATCACCATAGGAAGACGATCTGATTAGATTTTGGAGTACGTAGGTCAAAGGTCACAGGTCACAGAGGTCAACATATGAAATTCCTTGTATTGAGTTTGTTAGCGCGATATCTCAAGAACCATTTGAGATTTAAACTTCAAACTTAAGGATAGTATGTATCACCATAGGAAGACGATCTGATTAGATTTTGGAGCACGTATGTCAAAGGTCAAGGGTCACAGAGGTCAACTTATGAAATTCCATACATTGAGATTGTTATCATGATATCTCAAGAACCACTGGAGATTTAAACTTCAAACTTAGTGATAGTGTGTATCACTATAGGAAAAGAATCTGATTACATTTTGGAGCACGTAGGTCAAAGGTCAAGGGTCATAGAGGTCAACTTATGAAATTCCATACATTGAGATTGTTATCATGATATCTCAAGAACCACTGGAGATGTAAAAACTTCAAACTTAAGGATAGTATGTATCACCATAGGAAGACGATCTGATTAGATTTTGGAGCACGTAGGTCAAAGGTCAAGGGTCACAGAGGTCAACTTATGAAATTCCATACATTGAGATTGTTATCATAATATCTCAAGAACCACTGGAGATTTAAACTTCAAACTTAATGATAGTGTGTATCACCATAGGAAGACAATCTGATTAGATTTTGGAGCATGTAGGTCAAAGGTCAAGGGTCACAGAGGTCAACTTATGAAATTCCATACATTGAGATCGTTATCGCGATATCTCAAGAACCACTGGAGAATTTTCACTTCAAACTTAATGATAGTATGTATCACCATATCATAATATCTCAAGAACCACTGGAGATTTAAACTTCAAACTTAATGATAGTGTGTATCACCATAGGAAGACAATCTGATTAGATTTTGGAGCACGTAGGTCAAAGGTCAAGGGTCACAGAGGTCAACTTATGAAATTCCATACATTGAGATTGTTATCATGATATCTCAAGAACCACTGGAGATTTAAACTCCAAACTTGTTTAAATTGCTCTATGGCGGAGGCATCATTTTCGACTGCACGCAGTCAAAATTCCATCTAGTTTTGTAATGCTTTCTTTTAGAGCAACCTCGATGTTAAGGCTGGATTCCCGATCAGTCACTTCATGTTTTTGTGATATTGGGGAGGCAGGCACATGGTGTTTGTTGCATGTGTGTAATATGTACACATCTTTTGTGTAAATGTAGTTATGTAGGAATTGTGTCTAAAAAATTGGTGCAAAGTAGTACTGTACTGTTGTTGAGTTCAGTCCAATTTTACTATTATCACCAAAAAATTTTTTAGTATGAACTTTAATTAAAATAATTCACCTCTCTCTCTTTTATCATCATCTTTGTGTGTGACAGTGTGTGTGTCCCTGTACCTTTGTCAGGGTTTTATAATTATTATATCATGCCAGGTTTCCAAATTCCGTCCATTCTTTTTCGGCACCATCCTGACAAACATGCTCTTATGATACAAGGGTTTCTTGGCATTGTCTAGACCCAAATTATACTGAAATCCTTTCTTATTCATAATCGCTTTTTGTTCAAACTCTCACTGACCTGTATCTCTCAATTTTCTCCTTTTGTTAAAACCCACTTAAAATCAGGGTGGACTTGGCATGTGTGTCAGAACGTTGTAAATCATGCAAAATATGTATTTATCTTCCACCCTATAGGCCTTTTGCATGTACACGCTTTTTTATACATATTTTTATACATATTACAGTTAGAGAGAATATTACATTTCAGTGTTTCGGTAATGACTTGGTTCTCTCTAGATTCATAGGGGGCGCTAGTCCAGTACAATTTTTTGGTTGTATGTAGTTGTCATTAATACATGTCATACACTTCCAATATGAGTACTAATGGTGGTGGTGGTGGTGGTGGTTATTTTACCTGACCTTAAGTAAACAATTATTGTAAGACGGTGTTACTGTTGCAATCACTGATGAAGCAAACTTGGTTTTCAAACAAAAATGAATGTAAATTGAATGATGTTAGCAAGGACTGTTTTTGCAAACCATTCATAATTAGGAGGCACTCCAATATTTTTGTGAATACACATATTTTTCCTACGAGTCCTTATGGATCGCCAACTCGTAGTCAATCGCAAGCATCCGTAAATAACTCGCTGGTATCCGTAAACAAATTGTCACAACTCGCAACATGTCGTAGACACTCTTAAGGATCCGTGAAAGGAGAGGCAATTTTTTTGGAATGTCAAAAATCTTCTTACGATTGTCCACGGATTGAATTGTCCGTAAATAGCTCGTAAATAGCTTGTAACAATCCGTAATCATCCGTAAACCGGTCGCAACAACACGTGATCATTCGTAAACTGCTCGCAAGAATCCGTAAATGACTCGTAACAGATTTTTGTAACGATTCGTTACGGTTAGTTTACAAATTGTTTACGGATTACTGCGAGCAGTTTACGGATGGTTACATGTGCTTACGTGTTGTTTACGATTTTATTAAGGTCATTTTATGATGGCTTTACAGGTTGATACAGGTTATTACGAGCATTTTAGGTGTAGTTACGAGTACTTTAAGAATAGATATGTACACTTTACGTATATATGTATATGAACTGTTTACAAATTGGGGAAAGGTATCAAAGCTGCAAATTCGAACACCTCATTTTCAGTTATTTTTTGGCTAAAAATCGTAAGTACTCCTAAATACTTGTAACTTACTCGTAACTATTCCTAACAGCATGTAAACAGGGCGTAACTAACACGTCAGTTGCTCGTAGATTTCCGTGACAACTCGTAACAAATTGTGGACTGTTCTGTAAATACATTGTAATAACTCGTAATAATCCGTAATAATCCGTAATAAACTGCCAAAAGCTTGTAATAACTCTTAAACCGGTCTTAAAGTGGCCAAATTGTAAGGATCAGTGAATTCGTGCGATCCAAAAGGACTCGTAAGAAAAATCTGTGTATGTGAAAGGGGTTTTAGTTGGTGTCCCGTAACGTATTTCTAGGGTTGTAAGCCATGTCTATTTAGAAAGGGTAAAAAACAATTCCTTGTTTGATTTGAAAGTTGATTAACTTTCTCGGAGACGCGTAGGTCTTGATTTACTGCTCACAGACGAGACGAGACACGTGATAAGGTTTAGAAGTTTTTTTTACCTCTAGGAAGAACAGACCCATCAAAATAATGACCCTTAATGAAGCAATCCATTATTTGTTATGTTCATATGTGTGTATTTATGCTTTTCTTAATGGAAATAAAACCGAATCAAACCAAAAAGATTGCGGCTGATTGTTGATTGAGATTTATAAAAAAAAACATTCAGTCCTACGTTTTGTTTCACCATTAACCCAGTTCAGCTTTCAATATTGTAATTTCGTAATCGTGATTCTGTATATGTACTAATAAATATCTTATATCATTATTTTAATTATTCTCGTTTCGGACTTTGAATTATGTCGTAGAGAGATTGATAGAGATTTTGAAGTCGACGGAGAATTTGGTGCTGATTTAATTTCTAAAGGACAGAGACAATTGGTGTTGAGTTCTGATGAAAAGAGCGAATGTGAGATGAGGAGATGGGCTAAAGTTGGGATCCAAAGGAGAGAGAGAGGAGGAGATGGCCCGAAGTTAAGATTCGAAGGTAAGAGAGGAGGAGATTAGCTGAAGTTGGGATCCGAAGCTGATCGAGAGAGGAGATAAGCTGAAGTTGGGATTCGAAGGTGAGAGGAGATGGGCTGAAGTTGGGATCCGAAGCTAAGAGAGAGGAGGATATGGGCTGAAGTTTAAATCCGAAGCTGATCGATAGAGAGAGAGGGGAGATAAGCTGAAGTTGGGATCCGAAGCTGGGAGAGAAAAGGAGATAAGCTGAAGTTGGGATACGGAGCTGAGAGAGAAGAGGATATGGGCTGAAGTTTGGATCCGAAGCTGATAGAGAGAGAGAGAGAGAGAGAGAGAGGAGATGGGCTGAATTTGGAATCCAAAGCTGAGAGAGAGGAGTAAGTTGAAGTTGGGATCCGAAGCTGGGAGAGAGGAGGAGATGAGCTGAAGTTGGGATCCCAAGCTAAGAGAGAGGAGGATATGGGCTGAAGTTTGAATCCGAAACTGATCGAGAGAGAGAGAGAGAGAGAGAGAGAGAGAGAGAGAGAGGAGGAGGAGATAAGCTGAAGTTGGGATTCGAAGCTGAGAGAGAGGAGTAAGCTGAAGTTGGGATCCAAAGCTGGGAGAGAAAAGGAGATAAGCTGAAGTTGGGATATACGGAGCTGAGAGAGAGGAGGAGATAAGCTGAAGTTGGAATCCAAAGCTGAGAGAGAGAGGAGATGAGCTGAAGTTGGGATCCGAAGCTAAGAGAGAGGAGGATATGGGCTGAAGTTTGGATCCGAAGCTGATCGAGAGAGAGAGTGAGAGAGAGAGAGAGAGAGAGAGAGGAGATGGGCTGAATTTGGAATCCAAAGCTGAGAGAGAGGAGTAAGCTGAAGTTGGGACCGAAGCTGGGAGAGAAAAGGAGATAAGCTGAAGTTGGGATATGGAGCTGAGAGAGAGAGGAGATGGGCTGAAGTTGGGATCCGAAGCTAAGAGAGAGGAGGATATGGGCTGAAGTTTGGATCCGAAGCTGATCGAGAGAGAGAGAGAGAGAGCGAGAGAGAGGAGGAGATGGGCTGGATTTGGAATCCAAAGCTGAGAGAGAGAGGAGTAAGCTGAAGTCGGGATCCGAAGCTGGGAGAGAAAAGGAGAAAAGCTGAAGTTGGGATACGGAGCTGAGAGAGAGGAGGAGATAAGCTGAAGTTGGGATCCCAAGCTAAGAGAGAGGAGGATATGGGCTAAAGTTTGAATCCGAAGCTGATCGAGAGAGAGAGAGAGAGAGAGAGAGGAGATAAGCTGAAGTTGGGATTCGAAGCTGAGATAGAGGAGGAGAGAGGAGGAGAT